TCAATTGTGCATGCAATTACTTTGATGAACATGACCCATTTCAATTAATTCTATTCAAATAAATTAATAAATATAATGAGTATTAATTGATTATGTTTTCATATATATTAACTCTACTCTTGTACACGCCATTATAATATTTTCCTGAAATTTGTGCATCACAAAAGGTTATATAATCTTTGTCAGTATCAACAGCCGAGTTGATATACTGTATCATACAGCTGACAGATCTTGATGTCAAGATTTCTTCTCTAAAGTCAGGAACTATATCTTCAAAGCAGTAAGCCGTTTATCTTAATGGTATTTTATATTTTTGTTCCTTATAAATAGTTATTAGTAATTGGTAAATAATATTAACTGGAGAAGCCTAGAGAAACTACAAGACTTTGTAATATCATCGGCGACATGGTGGAGGTGTTTCCTTTGATCGTCGCCCCAGCTATGCCATTGTTGACAGCTAAGTTATTTAAGTGTGAATCGGATTATAAACAAAAGTCACTTGAAAATCGCGCTTAGTGTGTACGTCCGTCACATAAGGGAGCCATCCACTCAATGAACCGGTTAGAGATAAATATTAACAGGCAGTTCAGACTCTCTTTGACATATACTTATATGGCAAATAGTAATTAGCCTAGCCAAGAGATGGACGCTTATATCCACTATCCTAATTACGAATAACCGTCCCTGGATAATCTTTGCGACATTAATTAGCCCGGAGAGCACAAGGACAACATTATCATTTGAAGAGCTGCATTCTGCTGACACAACATGCCCAAGGCAACTGCAGTTGAAGCAATACACAAACTGTGCAAGTGTAAGGGATTCTTATCTGCTTTAACAGCCATTCCCCCCCGTCCGACTTTGTTCAGGAGCCAATGATGTTGCCAGCGATTTCCTTTAACGGCAACGTGACAATCTCTCCAAGCACTTGGCATGAGAGCGAAGAAGCCAAATGAAAACACGTGACGCGATGCCAGCAATTGGTAAGCAACAAAGCTTCAGCTTTGAGTTATGGCCAACCCAGTAGCATACACAAGCAGCTCCAGCAGCAGGAATAGCACGAGCAGCAGGAATAGCAGGAGCAGCAGGAGCAGCAACTGCTCGTCCAGCCGTGCCGTGGGGCCCAATGGCCACGTTTGCATTTCAATTTGAGTTTTCTGCTCGCGTTTTTTCTCTCATCTCTACTGAGATTTTTTTTATTTTGCAGGAGATAAAATCATAAATCAACGCTAAATCAGGTAAATAAAAATAATGCTCAGAGTGCGTATGCAAATTGAGCTGAAACTGAGCGACGGCGGCGAATCTTTGGTTGAGATTCGCTGGCGCAAAAATATGATAAAACTTAAGTCAGTCAAAAAGTTTTTGACTTTTCAAAAAAGTTGTTTTTGCATAATATTGTTGTAGCCAACTTTACTTTTTACTTAGCTGAGTGTGTCTGCCTCTACGTTCACGAGTGTATATGTGTGTGCGTGTGTGTGTGTGTGTGAGGTGGTGTGTGTGTGTGTGTTTGTGCAATCACTGTGCCGTTAATTAGCCTGAGCTCTAAACGGCATGGCTAATGTAGAAGCAAAGGGCCCAAACATGTTGCAGTCATGGCGCATGGGTGAGGTCAATAAATTGCACTGACAAAACAGAATGTGAGTTTTATCCATTCCTTTTAAGGCTACTTAAATGACAATGATATTCTCAATTTCTATTATTAAAGGTCAATTTAACAATTGCTATTATAATGTATTAAATTGTGTTTCACGTGTTTCAATTTGTTTCCAGAGGTCTGACTTGCTAGACCATAAGACCATAATTTAATAAATGAGTAGAAATGTTCGAAAAGCCCTGCATCGATATATATCGACAATAGCTAAAAGAAATCGATATAAGGTACAATAGCGATAAATAGCCATTGCTGTTTTCGTAGGTCCACTCTAAACTGTACAACTTGCATTGACAGAGAACAATTTGTTGGACAGTGTTACAGAGTTACGGCTACACGAAAGCACACGCACCGACATAGAAATGAAAAGAGTCTGTTTGGCGCTTTATTAGTTCAAAAATGCTGCATTGGGCAATTGCTTTGATCAAAGGGTTGAACAGCTCCCGAATGGAAAGTTCAGCAGCATCGGATGCGGTTCGTTTGGCTGAATCTTCTCTCAGGCGTCGACTCATTAGATAACCGCAAAGCGCACAATCTCTGCCAGTTGCCAGAAGCGGAGGCTGGTAGTAGTATGCGAGCTTGCCAATGTGCAATGTGCAATGGAATTTTACAGAACTTGTTGCGGTTTTAGTGCCCATCCCGCTGCAATTGAGCACTGCAGGCGTCGCCTCAAAGTTGACAATGTTTATTAATGGACGCACATGAACAACGACTGCAGACAGATAAGATGGGAAATTCTCTGCACACTAATGGACACATTTGCTTGCCTATTTGTATTTGACCGGATTTAAGGGCAGCGGGGAGCCCAATCGCAAGGATTTATTAAAGCTGTACCGGCAGGCACCCCGCTTCAAAATGCATCCAGCACAGCCACACAGCCAGAGCATTTCGTAATGTCTGCCGACATTTTATAGGCTAGAACAAAGACCTTCGCTCCAAGGCAGCAAACCAAAGCTGCAACAGCCTGAAAGTTTCTGCATTGCGGAAACGGATATACAACGACAGCTTCGTAAACTGCTGCATTCAACGTACTGTGGCCTGTAAGCTGCTGTCCTGCCCGATAAGCAGCTTGACCAGCACCACATGTGTGAAAGGCTGACGACGCCTAGGCCTAACGAATTCAAATTAGACTGATCAAGGCTTGCCAGTGGCATAGGCACAGCACCATTTAATAGTACTTTGAAATTTGCCGGACCTGGGAAAATCAAGAACTGAATGCATGTAAACCCAATTCCGTGAAGTGCTTGAAATTGGTATAGCCTGTAGCAAAGCCAATTTTTAATACATATATTAAAATCTCCTTTCAAAAATACAACAGTATTGCTAAGTGTTTCTTTTTTCTAGTCAAAATATACATTCTTGACCATTGTTTTTTGTTCTGTTTATTCATTCCCAAAAAAAACTGATTTAAGTGATATTACAAACAATTGTAAGCACGATCAAATTTATTATCATGACGATTTTGTGTCGCTCAGTTAGGACGCGCGTTAATCTTTCCTAAACACACCAGTCTTCAAAACATATTTTCATTTATCCCAAGAAATACTCTGCATCTTTAATCTGAGTTCACCTAGGGACTTAAATGAAGCTCAGAAACATATTTAAATAGTTGAAAGTGATTTCAATTACATCAACGGTACTCAAAGTACATATGATATGTTTTCACTGAGTTAATATCACACCTGGCTCATAGGACATTTTCGAGCTCCTTGCACTTGCAATTAAGCACATTGACATACATGCGCATAACTAATGCCAGCGGCTAATTATTTATGTGCGTGTGTCTGTGCGTCTGTATGTGTTGCTATAATGCTTGGCAGCGCCCGAGAGTTATTAAGCGCAAATGCAAACAAGGCGCGAGCATCCTTCAAGTTGTCTCAAAGCTGCGGTGTGTGTGCATGTGTGTGTTTATCAAACTCATGTGGTGCAGATAGAAGACGCAAACGGAAACAGCAGAGCACAAACATACCCACTTATAGAAGAGGACAAACAAACACACACACACACACACACACACACACACAAGTCAATAAATTCTCATTTTGCGGGCTGCGTGAAGCATTTCACCTGCAAACAAAATGAACGCTTTGGTGCAAAGCCAAGCAACGCAATAATAAATACAAATAAAAACATGACGGATAAAAATTGCAGCCACAAGGTACCGAATGTTACCCGAACAATCTATATTAAGTATACGCACCGTTTGAACCATGCATTTTAATGATGCTCCTCGTGCCGGCGGCACTTTATCCGACATCCAGATATCAACCTGGTTTCCTGTCTGCCCGCTTCGATGAGAAAACATTCATTTATTTCAATTAGTATTGAACTCAACTCTCGTTGCGCCTGCCGGCAGAAATAGATCAAGGAGCAGCTCATTGCCCGGAGGAAGTGTCGACAGCAACAAACTGCCTTTGGATTATTGGAAGCTAGGTAATACGCCTAATTTTGTTTGAATTTTACTATGCATGGGACTCATACGGAGCTAAATGAAACAAAGTAATGCACTGCAATCGAGTGATTCCCATTTAAAGTCGCAGCTCTCGAAATTAGTTTACTCAAGCAGTCGCTAGCAAGTGCTATATGAAGTATATGCAAAATATATGGCATACAGTTCGCTGTGGCATACTTAAGCAGGCAGCATTCTTTGATTGAACGCAAACAGACCGCGTTTGCATCGCCCCCTAAAGCATTGCCATCTCAATCAAAGCAGCTGACGCGGCGTCTTCAATTGATTTGAACGATTGTTGGTGAGAAGGGGCGCTCGTTGTCTACGACTGCAACACTCAAAGTAAACTCATCACAAAGCCTTAGAAGGCTTAGCAAATGGGCACGCCATTTGCAATAGCTTTGTAAATATTTCTATTTCTATATTTCACTTAAACAGTTATTAAGCATCCAGCACGATGCAGTCACTTGACCCGGGGCGGAAATGGGCGCTGGGGTGGGGCTGGGGCTGGGGCTGGGGCTGGGGCTGGTGTTGACCTGCCTGGCAAAGTCCCTGGCACGTTGCTAATGTGCATAGCCATTAAGTGAGCGCTGCGTGTTTTGTTTACGCAACGCGTACGCCCCGAAGGCAGCAAACACTTTTGACCCGGCGCTGTTGCATGTTGCAAGTGCAGCTGACAGGTGGCAAAAGGGCATGTGCTGGAGCAGAGCTGGTTGCTAAGCAAACATCAACAATGGCAACAGCCAGCCAAGGCAACGCCACAATATCCCCAGCAACAACATCTATAATAACAATAATAACAAGAACAGCAACAATGGAAACGAGGATAAGCAAAACTTCACAGTTGGGAACTTAAAACACAAAATCAAGGCAGCGCGGCGATATATATGTATATGTATATTATGAAAGGAAATGAAATATTTTCCACATAACGTTGCTACAAATTGAGCAGCGCATTCAACATTTCAAAGCGTTTATATTTGGCTTGCAACATTTGGCAACCGCCGCGGCCGCAGACGTTGTCCCAGGTTACATAAAAGGATTTGCAGGCGCCAGCGCGCCAGGGCGAGTCAACACGCCACAGCACACGGCACCGCAGACAACAAACAAGCGGCAAAAACCAACTGCACAGCGGCAGCTGAAATTGATTGAAAAAACAACAACAATAACAACAACAACAACAACAAATACGGAGGGTGCCAACAACAGCAGAAGGAACTCAAGTAGCTATCTAGAGCACGGCAACGTTTCAGCGTTTGATGTGCAAACCTCAGCGGCAACCGGTAACCAAATAAACACACACACACAAACACACTCGGGCGTTGAAGTAGCCAGAACCAAGTAAGTAAGGAGGACTGCCTTGGTAGCGCCGCCATACCCAATGTCTTACACCACGCGCAGTGGTTCGGAAAAGACCGCCAGTGCGTCTGTCCATGAGGATGTTAGCTCTTCGGGGGACAACGTCGACGTCGACGATCCTCGGGTCGTATGGCTGAAGACAATCATTGCCAATCAGTTGGGTGTATTCGATCCGATTTATGTCAACACTTTGATTGCCGAACATAGGCAGGCTCTGGATCAGTTTCTCAACAAGCGCTATGAACGGCAGGCACATTTGGATCGCGTCATCATGTACGTGTGGCGCACGTTCTTCGACAGGCTCGTGGAGGAGGAGATCACTGTGCTGGAGGAAGTGCCGCGAGCTTCGCTGCCGGAGAAAAAGGAGAAGAAAAAGAAAGGTGCTGGCAAGGGCAAGGGGCGCAAAAAAGGCGGACAGGATCCGGAGCCATCCACTGAACAAGCCGAAACGGAGGCAGCCGAAGCCACCGATTTTGAGACAGAAGCCGAGGGTGAGGCCGAGGGCGAGGAGGATGCCACCGTTGCCAGCAGCGCCAAGAGCTCAGCACGCTCCAAGCGCACACGTAAGTAATCGTTGTTCTCAACAGATCTTGGTTCTAGAATCGAAACGACATGCTTATACATTTTTTCTTTCTACTCGCGCTCATTCGTGCAGTCAGCTCTGATATGGATAATGGTAAATATGACGCATTCTTGCTCGATGTTCCTTTGTTCTTTACGCAATTTTTAATTTGGAAAGTTTTGCACCCGCACCTTCCCCTCCCACTATGGTCGAATGCAGCGCATAAATTCGTTGCCCGTCCAACTTAATATCAGGCGCAAATCTTTGTCCTCCCTTTGATTCACGCTGCCCACAGCACATCATAAATATTTAGGAGCCTCATTTCGGGCGCCTGCCTAATATTCATTTCTTTTGCAACTTTTAATTTGAATTCAGCGCCACGCCCACGATTCGCGCGTTCGCGAATATAGCTCATTTGATTTGCTTTGCCCGGCACAAAGATAACAGCAAAGTTTCATTCCATTCATTGCATTTAAATGGAACCGAAAAGTTCCGTCACAATGGCTATGCAAATGCCACCAACTGCATCTTCTCTTAGCACGTCAATCACAAGCTCACAGTCACATTCATCTAACTGCACTCTACCTGACACGCCGCCTATTCGTCATGCTAATGCACTAAATCTTATCCTCCCATTACAACAGGTCGCAAAACCAAAAAGAAAAGCTACGTTCCGGTCTACGTTGAGGTTAAGGTGGGTACAAGCATGTTGAAAGCAAACTGTTCACTTCATATAGATACCATACATACCTGTTACTTTTAAATAGATAATTATGTTTATATTTAGTCAGACGGAAATCGACTGGCTCTTTCGTACAAACTGATTTCATTGACAAATTATTAATTATAAATATATTCGTTCATTTCTAGAAAATGGTTCCCGCATATGTGAAAACACCAATACTTCATTGTCACTTTGGCGAAATGGAATCTCATAACATGGATCCGAAAATAAGATATGTCTACATAATACGCAAGAATGCTAGAGAAATTCGTAAGTTAGAAGTATAATAGACAATATATACATAATATTTTATTATATATAAATATAATATGTATTGTAAATCATGTTTATTATCAGCATTGCGCATACATACCAATCTCTTTTCGGCAACAAAGCGAATTGTCTTGATAATTGTGATTAACAATGGAACGCATTCTAGTGTGCAGTTTCTCATCAATTTTATTATTTTTTTTCAGCCTGGTTCAAAGACATATCGCAATGCTTTGCCGAGATGCCATTACTGTTCCTATTGGGCTCCATAAGGGGCAACCTCATCGACTCACTGCGAGACACATTAAAGATGGTAAGCCTGACTAGTAAGCTGGTCATCAAAACGCGCCACTTAATGCCGCAACACAATCCGCAAACCAGAATCACTCAAATTTGCGCCCTTTCGCTCATTTCACACCCCATAAAACGTTATTCAATCAATCAACGGCTTCGGAGCAGTGCCCATTGTTCTCCAATAGAGCTTCAATATGAGCCACACTCGCCCTTACCCACCGTTGCCCCTTGTGCTTCGACCATCTTTGCCCGTGGTCCGTCCATGCTTAACCGCAATACAAAATGTGACGAATTGTAATTAATTCCTAAAACAAGGCAGTCATCTATCAAAATGGACGCTGTGGCGAAAGATTTTTGCGCTTCAGCGCACAACAAGCAGTCAGAGGGTTTGGGGGTGTGGCAACAGCCTCACGCCCACAACGCCTTAAGCGGACAGCTTCAACGCAAATTGCTTCATCATAGCCTCAAAATGTGTTGCGGTTTCCATTAGGCTGACTGGTTGGCTGGCTGGCAAACTCAACCCCTGAACTTCGGCCCGCCGCTCGCCCATAAGACTTGGCAGCTTGCAAATTTTGCGGTCCGTGGGAGAGCAGCAGCATACCCCAACTGCCATAATATTTGCTCTTTGCATGAAAATAAATTGGGAATTTGTTGAGAATTTTGAAAATTGGTTTTGGCAAATCAACGCGGCAAATCAATTAGATTGCCTTCTCCACACACAGCAGACTCGGCCTATTAGAACAACATATGAAATTTCCAATTTTATTCTTATTTTTTGTTTTTGTTTTTTTTTTTTTTTCTATTGCAGGTTTACAAAAGCGCCTTTCAATTTCAATTTCGCGAACCGGACACCGCGGACACCCAGCAAATGGAGAGTAATGACGCCCAGAGGGAGGGTGGCGGCGGCGCTGGCGATGCCGGGGAGAATGTTTCCAGTGAGGCCAAGGAATCGGGGCCGGGTCTATTGGAGCTATCCAAACCATCGGAATTTCGTTTGAAAGCGCTTAAACAACAAAAGTATTTAACTTTTAACAAAGGCGGCGCGCGGCAACGCGTTCGCCTTGCTAGCTGGGGGCAAGGGGTCCGCAGTAGGGGCAATAGGAGGGCGTAACGCCCGCGCTTTATTGGTTTTATGCTGGCTGAAGTGCCTGCTCCGACTGGCTTTTTGCTCGACTTTTTTTTCCGTGCACATTTTTCGCTTGCCCTTTGTTTTGCATTTATCACTGGTTGCCATCGACGCGGCTACAGTTTCTTCTTTTTGTTTTTTTTTTTTTTTGTTTTTTCGGGATCCTGCATAACCCTTTTCGCACATAAATTACAGCGCATCCGATAAGAATTTTTATTTTTAATCGGATTTCATGCTGCCATCAACGGCGCCAGCGTCAGCGTCAGCGCCAGCGTCGACATCAGTGTTGTCTTTTCGCCCCCCACCATTGGTTTTGGAAGCCAACATTTATGGCACATCCTGGCGGAACCTCACTCAGCCGTGCATTGGGTATTCATTGCTTTCATTGCCGCCCCTTCTCAAGCAGCCACTTGACCAGTGAGCGCTGTTCTGGTCGTCCTTTTTAGGCATACACTTGTGCATTAAAAAATGCCTTCGTCGGAGTGAAGTCCTTTTTGTCCTGTTTGCTCGCTTTGTTGTCCTTTGTTGGCATTTGCTGCTCATTTCGCTTATCAGCGGCTTTTCATTACGCTTTGTGTTAATTTTACATGTCGAGCGACTTTAATTGTGTTCATTTGTTTATTTATTTTCTTTGACATGGCAGAAAGAAAAAGGCTCTGGAAGCCCAGGCCAAGAAGCTGCAGCAGGCCAAAAATGCAACAGGAAAGCCTCAAGGCGAAGCAGATGATGAGGAGGAAGACCAGATGCAGCATGCACCCGTCGATGTGCCATCATCGTCTGAGGAAGAGGGTAAGTTGCTTGCCAGAATTTCGATAGCGGGACAAAACATTGAAGCCCTTTTACAGTGGAACAGAAACCTGAAAAGCTTACTATTGCCGAGCGCTGGGAAAAGCTGCTGAATGAGACCAAAGCTAAGGTGGAAGCGGAACATATTGCCGAGGAGTTAACCCCTCCACGCATTAAGCCAATACAGCGTCGATTGCTCAAGGAGATTGAGGAGTTCGATAATGAAATCGTTTGGACTATCAATCATATTGTGTGGGCCTTCAATCTGCCCTCGTCCTATGTGCTGCCCGGTCAGGAGGAGACCGAATTCGAAGAAGCGGTCATACGCGTGCCGGTAGATACCAGGAAGCTGGAGCTAATACCCACTTACACTCAAGTACAGCTTGAGGATGTGGTGGACGGCTGGATGAAGTATCTGAATAAGACAATGAAGTCCTTGAAAGATAGCAAGCTGGATGAGTTTACACCCATGGCCGAGTATCGCTACTGGCATAAAATGGAAATTGATCTGTATGGCACACTGGAACAACTGAAAACAGAATTTGTATTGGCCGTGCTTAACCGACTAACGAACGATGGCTCCGAGGTGATAGCCGCTTGGAATAAGGTGCTTGCCAAGACTGAGGAACGCTTCAAATTGGCCAAAGAGAACGCAGACTACTTGGGCACCGTAACAGATTACTTGGAGGTGTGTAGAAAATAGAAATAAGCCCGATATCGGCTTCAAGAGTCTCGTTACCTTGTTTCTCCCTCTCGCTTCCAGAAAATACAAAACTATGACAGCTTTAAAATGGTCATAATGCAGATACCAAATGTTATGGTCGGGCTGCGCCACATCTGGACCATGTCCAGCTACTATTGTCGTGATCCCGAAATGCAAGTGCTGCTCTGTGAAATCTCCAATTTGTTCGTGCAGAAGGTTAAGAAAATCATCAATTTTGACAATATTTTTCGGTGAGTACAGAATAGAAAGAACGTTTCTGAAGTTGAATTATTTATGGCTTATTAATTGTCAGCTATTCTGCCTCGTACACCTATGAGACGGCCAACAACTGTGCGAACTTGTTGCGCTGCTGGAAACAGGCCTACAAGGTGAGCCGTCAGCACATTGAGGAGTCCGGTGCCGGCTCCCGCTGGGAGTTTGATCGTGAAGCGCTCTTCAAGGAAGTGAATCATATATACCGCGTGTCCGTGGACATTGCGTATGTGGGGCGCGTGTTTATACAGTATGAGAATCTGTTTGGACGCAATCTCAAAGCACTGATCACCGATCCCGCCATTGTGGATAACCTAATGCGTAAGATCTATCGATTGCTGGACGATCTGATTCGCAGCGTGGACTATGATATGTTCTTGCCCAGCAATTGGGAGAACTGGGAGTACTCACTGGAGCAGTTCAATAGACGACTCGAGATGCTGGAAATTGAGGCAAAGGCGGTCATTGATCAGAGCATTAACTCACTGCTCTCAGCACAAAAGGGTATCAAGCTGCTAATCAATGCAAACTCCATAGATACGCGCAAGGTTCTACAGGAGTTCGTCTCCACCAAACATGAGAATCTCTTACGATTCTTCGTGAGCGAGATTAACAACGTGGAAACTGTCTTCACGGTGCGTAGAATTATCACCAATTTATTTCACTTTATCGCTGTTATAATGGTATATTTTTACAGCATCATAAGAAAACTCCGCCAATGGCAAAACTGCAACCGGCCAAAATAAGCGCCGTCTGTTGGGCGCGTTTGCTGGGCAGAAAACTAAAAAATTCTGTATTGGCCTTCAAGACCGTGGAAGACGATCCGGCTATGCAGAACAGCTTTCTGAAGCGCAGCGCATTCAAGCAATATTTCGAATTGATGACCGTCATGTACCAGTTCGAGAAGATACTCTTCGAGAAATATATGCAAAACTCCACTTTTATAATAAACCATACCAATCGCTCATGCATATTGCATATACAAATATGCAAGGAGGAAACCAGTAGGTATTTCTTACCTCGAACAGAGGGCTTTCTACTAATCGAATTTTTCATTCGCAAAATAGTGAATTACATATCGGAAGCCACGCAAACACTGAAGGCCAAGAGTCGGGGCAATTCAGTATTGCAAGTGCATAATTCACAATATGGCGGTAGCTTGAGCTTAATGGAAATGGATTCTGAAAACAGTCTGCATGGACAACTCTCGATGAGCTTCTTAGAGGAGGACGAAGGGGATAACACACAAGCTGCTGTAGATGCCGCTCAAATAGGTGTCATGTGCAAAATCAATCGATTCACGGTACTCACCGCGATGATCATGTGGATGGTGGGCAAGACACGTCATGCGAACCTGCAGCTGAGCAAGGCAAACTCCTTTTTGGCTAACATGAGGGAGCGAAAACCAAAGGATATCACAGCACGGGATCGGGAGTGCATGCAGACATGTGAAGGTAAGTAGGCACTGACATATCCTGATTCTATCTCATCACATCACTTTCCATTTGAATAATGTGTGTACCAACATTTTATCTGTACTTCGCAAAATAACACCAAGTATTTCATCTTCCCGCCAACATTTGCCCTGCTCAGAAACTTAGCCCCACAAATCATATTTATTTGGCTTTATGTATATATTTATATATGTTGTTTCCCAGCTTGGAGATATATGTTCCCAAGGTCCCATCTAAACGCTCACATTCGACCCAAATGGTTGCTCGCAGTTTAGTTATTCAGACAGGACTTATGTTTTTTTTTTCATCATGGCAAAGCCAGAAGTATGTGCATTTTCCAATTCAAATAGACCATAAGACAATTTCCTTTATTCCTTTATACATATATTTCTTTATACATACAGTCCGTACTTTACCAATATGTGTTTCCAATATTAATTATATATAAAATTAATCTGTATTCCTTTCTGTTTCCACAAAGTACTCATACGCGCGGAATCTCAACATTTGTTGCCAATCTGGCGAGAACTTGTTGGTGAAAAGGTTCTGATCGAGTACGACATGCACTTTGTAGTTAACTTGAATCGCGAAGTGTTCGACACAATGTTCGAGGGTCAGCTATTTGAGCAGCTGGGCTTTACGCTTCCCACGGTGCTGCGCACTGCCATTATGAGAAAAGACATTCTCTTCAAGGACTTTGAAAAGCTATCCGAGGTCATCAATCAATATAATGCGCTTATTAGCAATTTGTCCATGTCCGAAGTGGTATTTTTGCGTGAGCACATCTACGACACGGAGCTTTTCATACAGATGGGCGTGGGTCGCTACACCTGGATATCGTTCAATATTGGCAAGTTTTGTGACCAGATCAATTCACAGCTGCGAAAATTGACTTCGATTGTATCGCAAATCAATTTTATACGCATGGACTTGCGCAACCGTATTGATCAAATCCAAAAATATAATCTGTTTAACCTGGATGACGAAGTATCTGATTCAAAAGAATCCATAACAAGCACAATGCCTAGCCATAGCATAACCCATGACTCCATGAAAAGTTCAATGGTGCGCACCTTCAAGTCAACGACCGGCGAGATAGTTACAATCATGCAGGCCGAGGAAGAACAAGATATTCAGAAAATTAATCAAGAAATTGCCTGTGGTACGGGTGTATACAGCTGTCAAGGATATTTCGAGCTGCTGGAGTCGTCGCGTAATCAGAAAGCGGCCCAAATGAAAAAGCTTTACGATTCCCTGGGTCCGGTGCTCATTAAACTAGAGAGCTTGGTATTGGGCACATTCACGGGCCGTTCGGAAAAAATGCGTAATTACTACGAGTACTGGGAGGAGGAGACCTATAAATGTATTATTGAGTGAGTCTCTAACTGAAAAGTGTATAACGACAATTCATCTTCATCTGCATTCGGATTCCACAGCATGACATATAGCAACTTAAAATGTTATATCAATCGTCTGCTATCGAAGGAGCCCATGTTTGAGGTGAACGCTGTGTTGCTCATGTCCGAAATTGTGCTGGAACCGTCGGCAAATGAACTCCAGAACATCATTATTACCGCAGCCAAGGATTATCTGACACGGTAAGTCCTTGATTCTGCTCAAGTCCTCTGCTTACGCGTCCCACAACAAAACATAGCTTGAAAATATTTACACGCTGGATGAGTGGCACCTGCCTCAACTGTCCGCTTATTGATGCCGGCTTATCGTGGAAATATAATTATACATTTTACGAAGATGTCGTGAGCATCAAGGACATAGTGAATCTGGTCATAAACGTACACGAATTGGCCGCAAAAGTCGTGGCCGAAGCAAAAGGCTTTGTGTCGCAGTGAGTACAAATATTCCTGCCTGTTTATGTAAATGCCTCCATTCGGCATTGTCAGATTTCGCAAGTACTTCAATCTGTGGGCCTTCGAGAAGGAAATGATATGCCAAAAGTTTGTGGAACGCCAAGTGACACTGGTCGAAATCGATGAGAAATTTACATTTTACTCGACCATTGTGGAGACCCTGCAGCAAATGCGCCAGCATCATGACGTCAGATGTGTGCGCATAAATTTGAGCCCATTACTGGAAAGCATCAAACAACACGCCAAGGATTGGTGTACAACACTGGGCGAGGTGCTATTGCAGCATGTCAACGACAATATGAGGTCTATGCGAAGCGAAATCAAAGTGGGTAACCACAAGCCATATGGCCCACTAGCTCTCTACCAGTTCAATTACTCATCTACTTCTCTCTAGTTGCTGAGCATGAATCTTAATAAGACCACACGCGAGTTGGAGGACTTTAAGCTGGTCATGCAAACCATCGCCACCGTCCAGTCGTCAACGTTGACTAATGAGCAGAAAATACACGAGATGCAGGAAACCTTCACAGTGCTAAGTGAGCACCAAATTATGGTAAGCTAGCTTGGTTTCCGATTTATTTATTTGAATTATATATTAAAATTGCAATATGTTCCACAAACACATGATCTAATACAATTAATTATTAAAGTAAGTTTGTTTAGCCTCGCAAACAAAACTTTGGCTCTATATAGGGTAGGCCCAAAAGACAAAGTTCTTATTCTGTGGCAGTTCTTATTCTTTATGATTTAAATCGAAACGACAACTTTTGAACTTAAAAATTTGATTCACTAAATATTAAAATGAAAAATTTCCCCTTCCAATAGAAGACAAAATTTTTCCAAAATTTTCACAAACTCATTTGCAATGCAATTGCAGCAATGGGGTTTTGTGTGTATGTGTAATTTGTGGATTCATGTAGAAAAAGAAGCTAGAATGTGTGTTAGTCCTGCTAGTCCTAGTCGAATAATTGTCATATTCTGGTCTTTATCCAAATGGCGTCAATCCAACTCTCCATGAAATACTTAAATCTAATAAAACCAATATGTAGAGCCCTATTCACTGGCTTAACGAAATTCGCTTATGTCAAGTCGCTCCATGCGCATATTTGGGTATTCAAATGAGCTGTTCTGGAAATCCTTTTCGAAATACTTTAAAGCCTTCGCGGCCGGCTGCAGCTACAGACTGTTTACATATGCATATTTGGTGGTCAGTGAGTGGAGCATCATTTAAAAATGGCTTTACGTATTCGGCACAACACATACACTCACACAGACACACAAAATGGTTACATAAACGCAACAGTCGAACTAGACACAGCCAGCGGGTGGCAGCAGTTAACTGCTATCGGTACTCTCCGGCACAGTTAGTCCACCATTTTGTGTGTCCACCATTTTGGATTCGTTCATTTATTGATGGCATTTCGTTGCGGCTGCGGCGCTTAGCTCTGGCCCAGACAAAACGGAATTAACTTGCATTTTATATAAATTAATGAATGAACAAATGCACACACACTCACACACACCCACACACACACACAGGCAACCATGCAGCGCAAAAGCTGCTAAGGCTATATGAAAATTTATGCAACGGCGACCAACTGCGGCGACGGCCCTGAAAGCTGCTTTTTTTTTTTTTTGCATACCCAGTAACCACTTACAAAACGGTTTGATAGACGCTTAAAATCCTGTGTAATAGATATTTTTTATCCTTTTAGGGTAAGGTTCAAATATCAGAATAAGAATATATGTATATCATATGAAGAGTTTTGCACTTTTATAAACAGGAATATTTCATAGGGCATCGTCTAGTCGAACATGCAAGACTGGAAGAGTCTTTTTATTCCGAGTTTCAGTTGCGGTTGTGGAAACGGCACTTGGCTGCTCGTTAGTGGAATTCGGCACTATTCATGATTATTATTTGCACTCAGCAATAATTGAAGGACATTGCTTAATTTGAATGTGGGTGCGTTCTCATGTCTTTTTTACTTTTCTTTTTCTATTTCACAGTTCTCGTATGAGGACATGCTGATGGCCCATCATCTGGAGAAACGCTGGAAGCGTCTATTTCTATCGGCGCTGTATCGTTCGGAGAAGCTGCAACCAATTAAGCAAAAGTTCGCGGAGATGACTTCCGTAGAAATCGACGTTTTCTGCGACGATGTAAGTTGTCAAGACAATGCCAGGCGTTATTCACTGAGGGGGCGAGGTAGAGCCTAGGTATGGGGCTTCAGTTGGCGCTGTCGACCCTGCATTTCCGCAATTTTGCGTTTTCTGCAATTCTGTTTTGTTTCCCTCTATTATTATTTCCCTTCAATGGCATTTTAATTGGATTTTTCCTCAACCATTATTGCCAGTTGTTAGCGGTAACGGCGCTGTCGGCGTAAAATGAATTAACTTGAAGTGTTTATTATTTGAATTAAGGCATGAGGCGCGAGGGGCGATAGGCGAAAGGCGTGGCACTGCGAGTTCTGCACAAAGCGCAGCAATCAAACAGTGCCACTTGACGAGTGTACTGCACTAACATTGCGTTGTCCTTTCATTCTCTACAGCTGGATGAATTCATCAAGGATTGGGACGAAAACGGACCTGGCTCCTGCGGCCCCGAGCTGGAGCGAGGCGTACGCTTGATGGATCCGTATGGTCAAAAAGTAAATGAACGAGAACTGAGGCGTCAGGAGCTGGCCAATGCCGAGCGTCTGTTTGACATGCCCATGGTGGACTATCATGAGTTTGCACGCGTACAATCCGAGTACGAGGGCTTGCAGATGGTAAGAACCCAATCCATATGACAGTATCCAAACATCAGTTGTAAATATATTCGCTTTTCAGATCTACAAATTGTACAGATCCCAAAAGAATGGCCGCGAGATCTGGGGCAAGACACTGTGGGTCGATTTGGATCCCAATTTCCTGACCGAGGGCGTTGAGAGCTATCTGAAGGAATTTCGTAAAATGCCCAAAGCGGTAAGTCCTAAGGCGTTTCAGATAAAAAGTTTGCCTAATTGGCAAAGTTTTCGGCCAGCTTCGGTGTTTTTCATAAAATTGCAGAGGCGTTAAAACAATAACAAGCAAATACCTTGCATTCAGTTTGTTTTGATACCCTGTATTAACATAACATTAAGCGGGTAGCCCTTTTTTTTTAACCCAGATTTACTTGAGTATCTAAAATCGGATCTGACGTATGATTAAGCAATTTTTGAGATTCATAAAGTTCATGTGCGTCTGATTTTATAAGGCATGTCTGATAGTCGAACTCTGGGAACTTGTTGACTTTTCCCTTTACAACAAACAAGGAAAGTGAAATTTGGCCTAGCAGCGTCGAAATTTTGCACCTAAGCTGATTATGACAAATTGATTTATTTACTTCACTAACAAGTTTCTGAGGAATTTCACTCTGGCCAGGCCAAAAGTTTGTCGCGCCAAAAAGTTTTGTTCATACAAATGAACCGAGTTGTTGGCGAAAAGTGGGCGCAACTCGGACTGAAAGTGGGCGCGGTTGGCAGTTGAGTGGGACTACATTCACATCTCTGAACAGTGATTACATGCATAGATTAGCATGCAAACTATTTCATTAGTTTATCATTAATATAAATAGCGCAATGTACGGAAATTTGAATATAATCAGTTGGCATGCACACATTTTAATGCAGCTTTTATCATGCATAATTTTGGATGGGCCTCACGGCCTAGTCGGCAGGCATAATCAGTGTCCCAAAATGCAAATCAATTTGTTCAATATTGAAAATAATTAAAATGCCAACGGGTGTCGATTGACGCTTGCGCCGGACTGCACTGTGCTCCTCCTCGCCATGTTGACAAGCCTGCGTTCCCTGCTGTTGCCCGTGCTGGAATTTAATTTATGCCCGCACAGCGCCGTACCAGCCATGCATCGAATGTGTGCATGTGCAAACAATCAGAGCGAGAGGCGAGGACAAAGCGCGCAAATGTAAACAGACTGCGCTTTTTAGCCAACACAACAAGCCCGTTGCCGTTGACCAAAACCAAACCAAACCAACAAAGCCACAGCCGCAGCACTTTCGTCATAATTCAATGCGTATGCAGCCACAACTGACAGCAGCCGACCACCGCACTATTGTTTCAACTGATTTGACGGCGCTAACTAACCGTTTACCCTCTACCCTATACCCTTTCGCCGCTGCAGGTGCGCCAGCTGCCCACAGGCCAGCAGCTGGAGATCCACATGAAGCAGTTCAAGGCCACGGTTCCGCTGATGGTCAGCCTCAAGCACGAGGCATTGCGCGAGCGACATTGGCTTCAGCTAATGGAGAAGACGGGACAATATTTCGACATGTCGCCCGCACGCTTCACGCTGGACAATATGTTTGCCATGCAACTGCATAAGTATCAGGAAATCGCCGAACAGATCCTCACCAACGCTATCAAGGAGCTGCAAATTGAGCGAGGCGTACGCGCCGTGGAGGAGACATGGGGTGCGATGACATTCAAGGTAAACAAGCACTTCAAGGGCATGGAGGACCGCGGCTGGATATTGGGACCAGTTGATGAAATAACGCAAGTGCTCGAGGATAATGCCATGAACTTGCAGTCAATGGGAGCGAGTCAGTAAGTTTTGACAGCGTACTTTTTATTTAAGACATTCGAAATCGGGATCACAATTAGCACTATGTACATGGTATTTTGCTAGTTGAGAGCACTCTCGAAATTCACATTCCATTCCCCTATTTGATAATAATATCTCCGTACATGGTATCTCATAGTTGGCATCCCTCTCAACTGGAGTATTCTATCATTTATTTGCTATTCGTTTGCAGATTTATTGGCCCTTTTCTGGAGACCGTCAACCGATGGGAACGCGCACTGGCGCTCATTTCAGAAATCATTGATGAGTGGCTGGTCGTACAGCGAAAGTGGCTTTACTTGGAGGGCATCTTCATTGGGGGCGACATACGCACACAGCTGCCGGAGGAGGCGCGCAAGTTTGACGACATTGACAAGTCGTACCGCAGAGTTAGTATTTGCTGTTTGGTATATATATATATTTGTTTATCCTGGTTGTTTGCCTGCTCGCCACTGCCATGGCCAAAATATCTACTCAATTTATTTGAGTTGATTTAATGTGCGCCGACAATATGGCGACGCCTTACTTAACGGTAAACATAATACGCATGCAAACGACCACTTTGCGTATTCGTAATTGTGTTGCCGCACAAATACAACTACTACAAATACATACTATATATGCCTACATTCAGACAGCTCAGCTCCTACAGCCATACATCACACACACATTACATTATATTACACATACGCACCGTCAGCCGGCGCTGTGTTTACCAAAGCCAAACGCTTTCACCTTGCCAAGCACACACACTCACACACCCGTTTGTCTGCGAGTGTGTGTGTGTGTGTAGATTTGTGTTTGTGTTAGACGCTTAACTTCACTTAACCTTGCTCGCCACTCGCTTCGTTTACTTTACGTTTCATTTGCAACATTTGCCGACATATTTGATGCCATTTATGAAATGATTTATTATTTTGATTTGCTTTCGACATTCGTATTATGCTTATACCCTTCCAAAGAAATGTGTTCTCTAATATTTTTATGCAGTTTACAAGGACAGTAGTTATATTTTCTCCCTTCTTTTAAAGTGAAAATAGCCTTTCAGTTAAAAACTCGTGTAAAATATTTAATATTCAGCCAACATATAAGAATATGCATTATCCCAGTATTTGTATTTGTACTCCCAATAGCTAGGTTTAAACGATCTAAAAATATTATAATATTTAATCATGAATTGTAGATCAGTTTCTCTTCTTTAGTTTCCTTTTCAAGGGTATTTCAACAATGGACTAACAAGTTAAGATATTTTTCTTTTGTGTTATGTTTGATGGTTTATCGTTGTTGTTGTTTTTGTTGCGCTCATTGCCTTTCATAATAATTTACTGTTCTAACTGCCGCTTCCTCTTCCACTGCAGATCATGGTCGATTGTGCCAAAAATCCGTTAGTGGCGCCATTTTGTGCAGTGCCCGGACGTTTATTGGATATACAAAGTCTGGGAGTTGGCTTGGAAAATTGTCAGAAGTCGTTAAACGAATATTTGGACTCAAAGCGTCGCATTTTCCCGCGCTTCTATTTCATATCCACCGATGAGCTGCTCTCGATTTTGGGCAGTAGCGAGCCATCTGCAGTGCAGAACCACATCATTAAGGTGGGTTGAAGTTCTCGACCATGTGTGAGTATGGGTGGGTGAATCTGTGTGTGGTTATGAGTGTGACAACAACAGATTTGCTAAACTGCCAGCAACATTATTTTTATGTATGGCTGGGCGTGAGTGTGTGTGTGTATGCGTAAGAGAATCTTGCCATAAAAGTTAATGTCACTGTTTATGCTTTCTGGCCAATGTCCAAGGCGGAAATTACGCCATTTGTGCAGCACATGCACTGGTCGAAACCCACAGGCCAGAGCCGTGGTAAATTTTTATGAATTTATTTGGCTTATAAATAAAAATGTATTCCTGCGCATTGATTTCACAATTTTCATTCCGCATCCGCAGATGTACGACAATATCAAGTCGCTGCGCCTGGTGAAGGAGGGCGCTCACACAATTGTTACCGCCATGATATCCAGCGAGGGCGAGGTCATGGAGTTTCGCGTTTTCAGTAAGTATACCCCGAGTCCCACGCCCGCTCGCAATCCCGCTCCCAATCAGCCAGCAAGCGGACAGAGTCCCTACGCACTGATTGCCAATTTTAAAATTGAACTTTTTTATGGCTCAGCTCTCTGCTCTGGCTGGCTGGCTGGCTGACCAATTTCTTTTAATTAATTTGAAGGCAGTCGGCGCTGCCATTTTCCCCTACTGGAGATGATTGGGCATTCGATTGTTGTTGTTGTTGTTATTGTTGTAATTTGGGTACTCTGATTTTTATTGTTTTTGTATACACTTATTGATATTGGCGACTGGGGTTTATTTATGTGGTTATTGGCCTTGTTCTTATTGTTTTTGTTTTTGAACAGCCCGGGCGCAGGGTCGCGTGGAACATTGGATGAACGATGTGCTGGACGAAATGCGCCGTTCGAATCGCTATATAACCAAGACGTGCATCTACGACTTCGGCACCGATCTGGTAATTTCAAGGTAAGTGAACAACATAAAAAATATATATGTATGGATGACGGCTAAAGCCAGTCGCAAATGTGACACGGACTGCCCTTACGCTTCCGACTGCCACACCCATCTCGCTCCGGCCTCTTTTATGGCCAGCGATTTACATTGAGACAGTGCTGTATAATTTTGTCATTTGGCGCGATTTATTATTTTATTTTGTATAAGCCGGCCGGGGCGCATGTCCCGGCATATTTATGGCCAATTGCATTAAATTGACAGTCATTGGGCACTTTCGATTTCCACAGACCGGACTGGTTAATGAACTACCAGGGCATGGTAGGCCTGGCAGCCAGCCAAGTCTGGTGGACAGCCGAGGTGGAGGAGGCGTTCGATCAAGCCCAAAACCACGGCAACATGCGTGCCATGAAGGATTTCCTCATGAAGAGCAACTATCAGATTGAGGAGCTCGTACTGAAAGTGCGCTCCAATCTATCGCGCAACGATCGTCTCAAGTTCAAGGCGATCTGCACCATTGATGTGCATGCCCGAGACATCATTGATAACTTTGTGCGCGATAACGTGCTGGATGCCAGCGAATTCAGCTGGGAGAGTCAGCTTCGTTTCTACTGGGTCAAGTTCTATGACAACCTGCATGTGCTGCAATGCTCGGGTAGCTTCGACTTCGGCTATGAGTACATGGGTCTGAACGGACGTCTGGTTATTACGCCGCTGACGGATCGCATCTACCTAACCATTACCCAGGCGCTGCTCATGAATTTAGGTGGCGCACCGGCCGGACCCGCCGGCACTGGCAAAACAGAAACCGTCAAGGATCTCGCTAAGGCCATGGGCTTACTCTGTGTTGTTACCAACTGTGGCGAGGGCATGGACTACAGGGCTGTGGGCACCATCCTGTCTGGCCTGGTACAATGCGGTGCCTGGGGCTGTTTTGATGAGTTCAATCGTATTGACATATCGGTGCTCAGTGTCATCTCTACACAGCTGCAGACCATACGCAACGGTTTGATACGCAAGCTCAAGCGTTTTGTGGTGCGTAAAATTAAATTTGTAATCTTGTTAAACTCTTCTTAACTTTGCCCCCGACAGTTCGAAGGCGTTGAGATCAGTCTGGATCCCAAGTGCGGCGTCTTTGTCACCATGAATCCAGGCTATGCGGGCCGCACTGAGCTGCCCGAATCGGTGAAAGCTCTATTCCGTCCTGTGACCTGCATTAAGCCGGACCTGGAGCTCATTTGCCTGATTTCGCTGTTCTCCGACGGCTTCCTCACGGCCAAGGTGCTGGCCAAGAAAATGACAGTGCTCTATTCGCTGGCTCAGGAGCAGCTCTCCAAGCAGTGCCACTACGATTGGGGTTTGCGGTCTCTCAACTCTGTGCTGCGCATGGCTGGAGTCATGAAGCGTCAATCGGAGGATCTGCCCGAGGCGGTGGTCCTGATGCGCGTGCTGCGGGACATGAATTTTCCCAAATTCATATTCGAAGATGTGCCATTATTCTTGGGCCTTATCAAGGATCTGTTTCCTGGCATTGATTGCCCACGCATAGGCTATCCAGACTTCAATGCGGCAACGCGTCATGTCCTTGTCAACGATGGGTACATACTGCTGCCCGACCAGGTGAGTGCTTCTGGCCTCCCAATGGCTTTCTGTGTTGCGTGTGCTGCTTTTGCACAGTCATGACATGGCTGACAAGCAAAAACTAGCCGACAGACAGACAGACCGAAGAGCTATAGAAGTAGTTGCTGAAGTTGTCCTGCTGCAGTCCTGTTGTCATCGTCGACACTTTGACACTTTGTAAATTGCGCTTTGTCGCATAATCGCAAATGGTGGAAATATTACAAAGCATTTTGCAGGACAGAACAGAACTGCCCACACCCTCGTGCGGCTGCCTACATCTAATTTTAACTTTGCTCAGTTCTCTGTGTGTCCCATCTACTATCTGATTTCTGCTGACAATTTTCACTAATACAATTTTCTCTGCCCTCGTCTCCACCTGGCCATTTATGCCATCCAATTTTGCCATTTTCATCAAACAAAACGTTGCACAAATGACACAAATGTCACACACAATGTCAACTGCTGGCCAACTGATGTCATGGCGCTCGTCTCTCCGACCGACCGCCCGCTGGCGACATCATTTATGACAAACCCCAACAACGGCAACGGCAACGGCAACGCCTTTACCTTTACCTTTTGCCCTCGCACACTGTACGACGGCAGGAAGACAAAGTGGTGCAAATGTATGAGACCATGATGACCCGCCACTCGACCATGCTTGTGGGCCCAACAGGTGGCGGCAAAACTGTTGTCATAAATGCCCTGGTCAAAGCGCAAAGCCACATGGGCCTGCCCACCAAGTGCATTGTGCTTAACCCTAAGGTAAGTGGTCCGGCACTTCTGCCTCTCTCCCTACATACACACACAAATCGCTTTACGTTTCGCACATTTTTTATACTCTTAACTCTCAGAGCATAATAACTAAAACAAGCTTACAAAAGTTAAATACTAGAAGCTTAAGATTTTCTTAAATAGTTTAAATAGATAGTTTCTAACTGCACGTATATGAATTTATTGGATTACAGTATTTACTAATGCAAATAATATAATTTTTGAAAGTCTGAAAGGAAAGAAACAGTATATGCTAGAAGAATAAGATTTTCTTTAACAATTTAATTAGTAAAAACACAAATTTTCTAGCTACAAGTCTATGAACTTATTAGATTTTATTTAATAATCCAGTTTATATTAATTTTAAAAGTTAGCCGAAGACACGATAAAATAAAGCGTATTCATTTTTCGTTGCTTTGAGCTGAATTGTGGACCTTCTCCTCAGTTTTTATGTCAAGTTCTTCCATTATGACCCAGCTGGTTAGCAGTGGGACGTTCAGGTGATTTCGTTTCCCTTTAATAATACAGTTCTCTTTGTTTTGCTTTCACAATAGAAAATATAAGTGCACTCAAAATTGTCCAGTTTCAATAGAAACTTATGCAATAAGTAGTTGTTAACAGAGCAGAGATACAGAGTCCGACTAAATTGCAGACGTTAAATGGTTTTTCACAAGTTAGACCAGAATTATGTGGCTCATTTTAAGAGTACAGAGTTTTAAAAACAACTGTATGTTCTACTCTAGGCAACAATTACTATTTGCATGTGTAATACATATAGGAGAAACTTGCATAGCTCTTGAAAAACTCTTTAATGTCAACATTTCCCACAGGCTTGCTCGGTAATTGAATTATATGGTTATTTGGATATGGAGACGAGAGATTGGATCGACGGATTATTTTCAAATATATTCCGTGAAATGAATAAGCCAATAGAGCGTGAGGTAAGTACAGGAAACGAAACATCTCCCCAATATTCTCTGGCGCGGGTTTGCGCTGGCTGCTGTCGAACCACCGGTGGGTCACATAGCGCGTCACCTTGCACCTTCGCCAACGACGCCACCGCGGCCGCCATAGTAATCCCATTTGAATTGAAGTGCAACAGCAGCTAATCCTCGCACACGCACACGCACAGACACACACATGCACACTCACACACGTTCAGTGCCAATTCAGACGCTAGCTGAATATAACAGACGCGCGCTTCTAGGATGTGGTTGTGCATGTAGAGTGGCATAGTGTGTGTGTGTGTTGGTTTGGCGTTCCATGTGTATCATTCATGCGGAAATCATGCCATTCGCTAATACATCCCATTGCACAACCTGCGGCCGAGGCATTGCCTATCGGCAATAACTGAACATACTCTGTCTCCTGGCAACTCTTTTGGTTACTCGGGCATTTGGCCCGCCGAGGTAATCTCTTGCACTAGCTTTGCCCACGGCGCCGGTGACGGTGTATATGTGATAGCCATAGCTTTTGCCAGCGCCAGTCAGAATCTGTTGGCATTGAATAACACACTCAGGCTAATGCAATTCAACACCGCTCAATACAAACAGGAGCGCCGCTATGCCTGCTTTGATGGCGACGTGGATGCACTTTGGATTGAGAACATGAACTCTGTTATGGATGATAACAAGCTGTTAACATTGGCGAACGGGGAGCGCATACGCCTGGAGAACTATTGTGCTCTACTCTTTGAGGTGGGCAATTTGTTTTATGCCTCCCCAGCTACCGTCTCGCGTGCCGGCATGGTCTATGTGGATCCCAAGAATCTGCGCTACAGTCCGTACTGGCAGCGTTGGGTACTGACCCGGCCGGAGCCACAGCGAGAGATGCTTAACAATTTCTTCGAGAAGATTATTGTGAATGCCATAGCGTTCATATTGGAAGGTGTGGACGGCACCACGCAAGGCAATCCCCTGAAGATGGTTATTATGCAAACAGATCTCAATATGGTCACACAGTTCTGTAACTTGTATGACGCACTGCTGCCCACATATGGACCGCCCGAGAACAAGAATTCGGATGAGCCTGTGCTCAAAGTCTACAATATGGACAGCTTGGAGTGTTGTTTCTTGCAGGCTGTATATGGTTCACTCGGAGCCTGTCTGCTTGAGAAGCATCAGATCATTTTCGATGAGTTCATGAAACGCATTGCCGGATTCCCACTGGTCGAGGACACGCAGAATTCGCCCGCCGAAGGCGGACAGTTTCCCCAGAACAAGCCCACTCTGTATGATTATTTCTGGGATGTGAAGGATAATTGCTGGAAGGCCTGGGAGTGGGTCGTGAAGCCGTACGAGCATGATCCAGCCGTCAAGTTTAGTGAAATTCTCGTACCCACCGTGGACAATACACGCACCAATCGGCTGCTTGGCCTCATGAGCGATGTAAGTTGATGAGTTACGAATGCCTCGAGCTATTTACCTGTCTATTCAACGATAATATTAATTTCGATTGGATTCACAGATCAAACGACCCGTTCTGCTGGTGGGCGAGGCTGGCACATCAAAGACGGCTACTATCATGCAATATTTGCGCAATCTCAATCCGTCTGTCAATGTAATTGAAAAAAGTCTCGCACAAGCGAAGAGCTGCACGCAATATAGCTTTCTCTCAAACCTTTGCCACTTTTTCAGGTCATACTCAATATTAATTTTTCATCGAGAACCTCGTCGCTGGATGTGCAGCGCACATTAGAGGCGGCTGTCGAGAAGCGCACCAAGGATACGTATGGCCCACCGATGGGCAAGAAAATTGCCTGCTTTATTGATGACATGAACATGCCGCAGGTGGATGAGTGAGTATAAGCCAAAGAGGCGACTGCCAGCGACAGCTGATAGTCTCCCCTACCGCTCCCCTACTGCAAAGTACTTCACTCGACTTTTCCCCACAGCTATGGTACACAGCAGCCCATTGCGTTGTTAAAGTTGTTCTTTGAGCGGGGTGGCATGTACGACCGAGACAAGGATCTCAACTGGAAGAAGTTTAAGGATATGACGTTCTATGCCGCCATGGGCACCGCTGGCGGCGGTCGCAACGAAGTGGATCCGCGCTTCATCAGCATGTTCTCCACTTACAACATCATATTCCCCAATGATGAGTCGCTCATCCAAATCTACTCGTCCATCTTTAAAGGCCATTTAACATATTCAAAGTTCCAGCAGCGCTTTATGATGGTTGCCGACATAATTGTCGTGATGACTCTCAAGTTATTCAAGGTTTGATATTTATTGTTCTGATTTAATCTAATTTTTCTCTTCACTAATATTGGTGAAGCGTTACCCTAATCTTCTATACTATAGCCCAGGTATCGAAACCTCCCTCTTCTCCCTACAATCATTATTATTACTATAAAAACTAACATTTTCAAGATAGTTAGACAAAGGTACACTCCAATTTTATTTTAAGAAACTGTTAAAAACAGTTTAAATATTTTTATACTATTTTTTGTTTTCGAGTCAAGGAAAAATGGATTCTGTGGAGAGTGTAAAACATTTCTCACACTCTTTGAAACAAAGTTTCTCACAACCGATTTTCGCGATTTTCCGAAAAAACCCGACGGCTTGAACCCCAATCAATTAGTCAGTCAAGAGAATCAGTTTTTTATATAGAGATATTTACATATACATATACTCTATATATATTTGCTTATTATTTAATTGTATAATTGTATCCGCCGCCGCCGCTGCCAACCCCCCCCTTGCGTGCGTCATTTGGTGGTGTTAGAAGAATGTTCAGGGCATCCCTTAGTCGGGCACTCCCGACCAGAGCACGTTTTGCTTGTGTTTACTCGCTGCGTCTAAAAACATTTCATATGAACGTAAGCTTTTGAATTTATTGCATGCAGTACTATTATTTTGACCGCAAGTGTATTTACAAATATATATGTATGTACATCAAAAGTTGGCAGCTAAACGAAGTTTGTTGCTTACATAAATCGACACAATGATTCGCTTACATCTATGAAGATATGCACACACACACACACACGCAAATATATATTATATACAGTCGGTACCTAAATTTAGTGTACAGCTATGTATGCATGTGTCTGTCCATGTGTGTGTGCATTGCTTGAGCTTATCGCTGAATATTTGGAAATTGCATGCAATAGCCTCAAGAATAACAAATGAATAGTACACACACACATACATACGTGTGTGTCTGTAGACACACGTTGCCCACGTATAAATTTGTTTTTGTTCGCTTCTCATTTTGTTGTTTACGCTCACAAATTTTAAATAAAACAAAAAATAAGATCATCAATTGTAAATTGAATAAGCTCTTCGCCACTTCAATTTGATATGGAATTGCATCAAAATACATACATACACATACATTCACACATACATACATACTTACAATCAAAGACTATGTAAATTCAACCTTTTTGATGATTTTTTGCAATAATTCCGTCAAATAATTTCCGATATTGGAATTTTATGCCACTTTTGACTCGTAAGGATCAGTTCTAACGATTGGCATCGAAAAAAGGAAATCCAAAATTTTGACTCAAATCGACAAAATGGCAAGAGGTTACATCACGCTTTTTTTCAAAGTAGCGGTCGGTGCGAAAATCGAAACTTTTTCCTGGAGATATGACGTTCCAAAACGACAGAACTCCCCGCGGAGATATGACGTTCCAAAACGACATAGCTCCGCGCGGAGATATGACGTTCCAAAACGACATAGCTCCGCGCGGAGATATGACGTTCCAAAACGACATAGCTCCGCGCGGAGATATGACGTTCCAAAACGACATAACTCCGCGCGGAGATATGACGTTCCAAAACGACATAACTCCGCGCGGAGATATGACGTTCCAAAACGACATAACTCTGCGCGGAGATATGACGTTCCAAAACGACATTACTCCGCGCGGAGATATGACGTTCCAAAACGACATAGCTCCGCGCGGAGATATGACGTTCCAAGACGACATAACTCCCCGCGGAGATATGACCTTCATCACGATTTTTTCAAAATCGAAACTTTTTCGATGATTTCTTTTTAATATCTCGGGTAAATAATGTCTGATTTTAAAATGTTATACCTTTTTGAATGCGTACGGATCCCTACCATCAATTGGCATTCAAACAAATTAATCATCGATGGGTTGAACAATGTTGTTGACAAAAAACCGATTCGTTCGTAAATTCAACCTTTTTGATGTTTTTTTGCAATATTTCCGTCAAATAATGTCCGATTTTGGAATTTTATGCCATTTTTGACTCGTAAGAATCAGTTCTAACGATTGGCATCAAAAAAAGGAAATCCAAAATTTTGACCCAAATCGACAAAATGGCAAGGGGTTACATCACGCTTTTTTTTTAAAATAGAGGTTGGTGCGAAAATCGAAACTTTTTCCTGGAGATATGACGTTCCAAAACGACATAACTCCGCGCGGAGATATGACGCTCCAAAACGACATAACTCCGCGCGGAGATATGACGTTCTAAAACGACATAACTCCGCGCGGAGATATGACGTTCTAAAACGAAATAACTCCGCGCGGAGATATGACGTTCCAAAACGACATAACTCCCCGCGGAGATATGACGTTCCAAAACGACATAACTCCGCGCGGAGATATGACGTTCCAAGACGATTTTTTCAAAATAGAGGTCAGTGCGAAAATCGAAACTTTTTCCTGGAGATATGACGTTCCAAAACGATATAGCTCCGCGCGGAGATATGACGTTCCAAAACGACATAGCTCCGCGCGGAGATATGACGTTCCAAAACGACATAACTCCGCGCGGAGATATGACGTTCCAAAACGACATAACTCCGCGCGGAGATATGACGTTCCAAAACGAATTAACTCCGCGCGGAGATATGACGTTCCAAAACGACATAACTCCGCGCGGAGATATGACGTTCCAAAACGACATAACTCCCCGCGGAGATATGACCTTCATCACGATTTTTTCAAAATCGAAACTTTTTCGATGATTTCTTTTTAATATCTCGGGTAAATAATGTCTGATTTTAAAATGTTATACCTTTTTGAATGCGTACGGATCCCTACCATCAATTGGCATTCAAACAAATTAATCATCGATGGGTTGAACAATGTTGTTGACAAAAAACCGATTCGTTCGTAAATTCAACCTTTTTGATGATTTTTTGCAATATTTCCGTCAAATAATGTCCGATTTTGGAATTTTATACCATTTTTGACTCGTAAGAATCAGTTCTAACGATTGGCATCAAAAAAAGGAAATCCAAAATTTTTACCCAAATCGACAAAATGGCGAGGGGTTACATCACGCTTTTTTTTTAAAATAGAGGTTGGTGCGAAAATCGAAACTTTTTCCTGGAGATATGACGTTCCAAAACGACATAACTCCGCGCGGAGATATGACGCTCCAAAACGACATAACTCCGCGCGGAGATATGACGTTCCAAAACGACAGAACTCCCCGCGGAGATATGACCTTCATCACAATTTTTTTCAAAATCGAGGTCGGTGCGAAAAGCGAAACATTTTCGATGATTTTTTTTTAATATCTCGGGTAAATAATGTCTGATTTTAAAATGTTATACCTTTTTGAATGCGTACGGATCCCTACCATCAATTGGCATTCAAACAAATTAATCATCGATGGGTTGAACAATGTTGTTGACAAAAAACCGATTCGTTCGTAAATTCAACCTTTTTGATGATTTTTTGCAATATTTCCGTCAAATAATGTCCGATTTTGGAATTTTATACCATTTTTGACTCGTAAGAATCAGTTCTAACGATTGGCATCAAAAAAAGGAAATCCAAAATTTTTACCCAAATCGACAAAATGGCGAGGGGTTACATCACGCTATTTTTCAAAATAGAGGTCGGTGCGAAAATCGAAACTTTTTCGATGATTTTTTTTAATATTTCGGGTAATAGCTCCGCGCGGAGATATGACGCCCCAAAACGACATAACTCCGCGCGAAGATATGACGTTCTAAAACGACATAACTCATATGACGTTCCAAAACGACATAACTCCCCGCGGAGATATGACGTTCCAAAACGACATAACTCCGCGCGGAGATATGAGGTTCCAAAACAGCATAACACTGCGCGGAGATATGACGTTCCAAAACGACATATCTCCGTGGGGAGATATGACGTTCCAAAACGACATAACTCCGCGCGGAGATATGACGTTCGAAAACGACATAACTCCGCGCGGAGATATGACGTTCCAAAACGACATAACTCCCCGCGGAGATATGACCTTCATCACGATTTTTTCAAAATCGAAACTTTTTCGATGATTTCTTTTTAATATCTCGGGTAAATAATGTCTGATTTTAAAATGTTATACCTTTTTGAATGCGTACGGATCCCTACCATCAATTGGCATTCAAACAAATTAATCATCGATGGGTTGAACAATGTTGTTGACAAAAAACAGATTCGTTCGTAAATTCAACCTTTTTGATGTTTTTTTGCAATATTTCCGTCAAATAATGTCCGATTTTGGAATTTTATGCCATTTTTGACTCGTAAGAATCAGTTCTAACGATTGGCATCAAAAAAAGGAAATCCAAAATTTTGACCCAAATCGACAAAATGGCAAGGGTTACATCACGCTTTTACAAAATAGAGGTCGGTGCGAAAATCGAAACTTATTTTTTGTTGTAGGAAATTTGTATGAATTCTTGTGCGGGGCGAACAAAAAGCTATCGCATTCTGAAGAGCGCTTTAAAATCTCTCACAAATTTTATGAAATTCGATTTACATATGCAAATAAAGGCAATTTTTCATAATCTGCTTTGCTGCCTCGCTGCCATACAATGGAAATTATTCAATGGTCTGTAATGCACCAAGAGGAGCGTCGTTCTCCATGGCTGCTCCATTGGTTTTTCGAGTACAGCTCAGTGCTGGTGTCAGTTGATGCCAGTGCCGCCCCAGTGAGGGCCAAGTCTGGCGCTATGGATGTGGCTGAGGCTGGGGCTGGTAGCATTGCCATTTGCTGTTTGGCCTTTTACACAATGGTCACCCGCCTTGACTGCTGCCTAGTTGACTGTGTCTAGGTCTGTCTCGGTGCTCCGCCTATCTTTGCCAGCACATCTTGGCTGGAGCGAAATTTGATTATGTTTAAGTATTGAACTGTAGATGGCTCTTTTCGCAGCACGCTGCCCCTTGTCACCCTCCGAAGGCAGGAGCATTAGTTTATGGTGCTTTTAACAATTGTTGACACTAAAATATTATCGCATTTCATTGCGTGCAGATAAAAATGCATTTGTCGCCACAATTGCCACAAGCAGCATACGCAGAGGCAGCACCAGCTCCCAACAGTGACTGCCAAAAAAAAAAAAAAATAAACCAAAAAAAAAATTGAATATGATTTACTCACACCTGCAGTTTCCAGTTTCAGAAGTAGAGTAGTACCTACCCAGGCCTGTCTAGTTCGTATGTCTTCTTTACACACTCGACGCGCCAGGCCAAAAGATATTAATGTCCCACGAAATGGAATAAAATGAATTATTTGAATTGAATTGCCAGCACTGGAGAGGTGCGGCAACTGCAGCTCGATAATGGCTGTAAATTTAGCTGAATGCAAGTTGTCCAGGTCCCCTGGACCCCTCTCCACCTCCCGAATAGGATGCTCAGTATTTGAATGCATATTGCCAGCAGTAGAGATAAAATTGATTTGTAGGGCGTGCCCCTTGCCACTTGCAAACTTGCCACTTGCAAATGCCTTCTCTAATTACTGTTGTTGTCATTCGGGCCCGTCAGATGGTCATTGTAGATCTGCCGCCGACGCCATCGAAGTTCCATTACATTTTTAATCTGAAGGATCTGTCGCGCATCTTTGCCGGCATGCTTTTGATTCATCCCGAGAATTTCAAGGGCCTTCGAGAGTTCATACGTGTCTGGCGTAATGAGTTCACCAGAATAATATGCGATCGTCTTATTTCGCAAGCGGTAAGTAAGCTTTCCCGTAAGGTCGAGTACATTTGCTTAACTTCAACACGCAGGACATAGCCAATGTGCGTCGCAACTTGGCCGTCGAGGTGGAAGAACGTTTTCCCCCCGAGTTTGAGGAAGAACATGGTTTCATTGACTTGGAAGCCGCAGCAGCAGAAGCACAGGCTCGACTACTATACGATGCGCTTGCCGAAGATGCTGCCGCAGCACAAGAAGAGGAAGACGAAGAGGAGGAAGAGGAGGGTGATGAGGGCCCAGAGGTGATTCTGTCGCTGAAGGACTTTGTGCTGCGTGATCCATTGGTTTTCGGCGATTTTCGCAATTTCACCAACGAATCTGAGCCGCGCCTCTACGAAGATCTCATAGATTACAAAGCGGTCTACACTTTATTCACCGAGATCTTGGGCGAATACTGCGAACGCAGACAAAAAATGACGCTAGTTTTGTTCGAGGATTGTTTGGAGCATCTGACTCGGGTGCATCGCACACTGCGCATGAATCGCGGTCATGTGCTGCTCATTGGCGTCGGGGGCTGCGGCAAGAAGTGTGTCACTCGCCTTTCGGCCTTTGCGGCCGAGTGCGAGGTATTTGAAATCACAATTTCCCGTGGCTACAACGAAACCTCGTTCCGCGAGGACCTTAAAGTATTGTACAACATCGCTGGAGTTAAGCGCAAGAAGGTCGTGTTCCTGTTTACAGGCGCACAGGTGTGTATTTAATAAGTTCAAATTATTACTGATATGACTAACAGCTCTCCTCACTTGCAGATAGCCGAGGAGGGCTTCTTGGAGTTGATCAACAACATTCTAACGGTGGGCCAAGTGCCTGCATTATTTGCAGATGAAGATAAAGACGGGATTGTCAATCATGTGCGAAAGTATGCCGAAGAGGAGGGTCTTTCTGCATCCAAGTGAGAACCTGAAAGATTTATCCAAGCCCCAGCTAATACTTCTTCCTATCACAGAGACTCTGTTTGGGCTTATTTCCTGCGCACCTGCGCCGAGAACTTACACGTGGTACTCTGCATGTCTCCAGCTGGCGATGCCCTCCGCAATCGTTGCCGTAGTTTCCCCGGTCTCATTGGCAGCACGTACATAGATTGGGTATTCCCCTGGCCCAAGCAGGCGCTCTATGCTGTGGCAAAGCTGTTTCTCACCGAGCACCCCATGATACCTCCGCTGCACCGCGAGGCGATCATCGAGCATGTGGTGCACGTTCATATGACCATTCAAGACTATTCCAAGGACTATCAAACGAAGCTGAGGCGTAGTAATTTTGTAACTCCCAAGCACTACTTGGACTATATCAACACCTATCTCGGATTACTGGGTAAGATTAACGATGCCAAGTTTAAGATTGATTTACATTTATTATTACCTTTACCTTACCCAGAGGAGAAGCATAAGCACATCATGCAACAGCGCGAACGTCTTGGGGAGGGTATTAAGAAAATTGAAGAGGCTTCTGTGCAGATCGACGAGCTGCGCATTATAGTGACAGAGCAGAAGAAAAACGTTGCCATTGCAGCAGAGGAGTGCGAGGCCATGTTGGTTACCATAGAGTCTTCCACGCTTAAGGCAAACACCAAAAAGGCCGAAGCGTCTGAAAAGTCCGTCGAGGTGGAAATTAAGGGCAAGCAAATTGCCGTCGAAAAGGAGGAGGCTGAGGAGATATTGGCTGATGCAATGCCAGCGTTAGAGGAAGCGCGTCGTGCGCTTTCCGAACTAGAAAAAGCCCAGATCACTGAGATTCGTTCCTTTGCCACGCCCCCGGCCGCCGTGCAGGTTGTATGCGAGTGCGTTGCCATATTGAAGGGCATCAAGGAGATCAGCTGGAAGAGTGCCAAGGGAATGATGAGTGATGTGAACTTCCTTAAGAGCTTAATGGAAATGGATTGCGAGGCCTTAACTCAGAAGCAAATCACCTCCTGTCGCACCCATATGAAAACACAAAATCTCGATGATATGGGAAAAATTTCGGTAGCCGGAGCGGGCTTGTTAAAGTTTGTGAAGGCGGTGCTCGGCTTTTTTGATGTCTACCGCGAGGTCAAGCCGAAGAAAGAGCGCGTCGACTTCCTGGTTGAGGAGCAGGACGTGCAAATAAAGCTGTTAAATCATTTGAACTCTGAGATTCAAAAGCTGGAGGAAAAACTAGATGAGCTTAACCAGCACTATGCCACCTCCATGAAGCAAATGCGGGCTTTGACCGAGATGATGCAGCAGGCCGAACGCCGCTTAATTGCATCCGATAAGCTGATCAGTGGTCTTTCTTCTGAGTTAATACGTTGGAGCGCTGAGATGGCCAGCCTGGGTCAGCAGCTGATCGACAGCGTTGGCGTTTGCCTCATCAGTGCCTCGTTCTTGGCTTATACAGGTGCCTTCACATGGGAGTTCCGTAAGACTATGGTGTTCGACGACTGGCTGGAGGATATCGTTGCGCTGGGCATACCAGCCAAATTGCCACTGAAAATTGATAGTTATCTTACCACCGATGTTGAGATCTCGCAGTGGTCCAACGAGGGCCTGCCGCCCGATGAGCTATCCATTCAGAACGGCATTCTAACGATGCGTGCCTCGCGTTTTCCACTCTGCATAGATCCTCAACTACAAGCGCTGCAATGGATTCGCAAAAGGGAATATCGTAATAATCTCAAGGTGCTGTCTTTTAGCGATTCGGACTTCCTAAAGCAGCTGGAAATGGCCATAATGTATGGCTTGCCTGTACTATTCGAAGATGTGGACGACTACATCGATCCTGTCATTGATGACGTTCTGCAAAAGAATATTCGTGTTCAGGGAGGCCGCAAGTTTACCATGCTGGGCGATAAGGAAGTCGACTGGGATCACAGATTCCGACTCTACTTGACCACCAAGTTTTCCAATCCCAAATTTGATCCCGCTGTTTATGCCAAGGCCTTGGTTATCAACTACACAGTAACCCAGACGGGTCTGGAAGATCAGCTGCTTAGCGTTGTGGTTGGCACAGAGCGTCCTGATCTAGAGCAGCAGCGATCGGATCTTATAGCCCAAACCAGCGAGAATAAACAGCTGCTGCAGCAACTCGAAGATTCACTCCTGCGCGAGCTGGCCACTTCAACGGGCAACATGCTGGACAACGTCGAGCTGGTCGAGACTCTGGAGAACACCAAATCCAAGGCCGGCCTTGTCATGGAGCAGCTCAAGCTGGCCAGCGACACTGCCGCCGACATTGAAATCCTACGCAACGGCTATCGAGCGGCTGCCAAGCGCGGCGCAGTCCTCTTCTTCGCTCTCGCCGACATGGCCACGGTGAACAGCATGTATCAGTATGCGCTCGCCGCCTATCTTGATGTTTTTGTTTACTCGCTGCGTAAGGCTGTGCCGGACACGGTGTTGGCCAAGCGTCTAAACAACATAATCAAGACACTGACCGAGAATGTCTATTGCTATGGCTGCACGGGCATCTTTGAGCGGCACAAGCTGCTCTTCTCCTTCCAGATCGCCACAAAGCTGGCGCAGCGTGATGGAGTCCTGTCGCAGGCGGAAATTGATTTCTTTATCAAGGGCAGCATCGCGTTGACAAAGAGCGAGCGCAGTAATCCCACAAAATGGCTGCCTGAAAAGAGCTGGGAGGATGTCCTCAAATTAGCCTTTGATTTTCCGGACACGTTTGGCTCTCTGCCAGATCATTTCAGTCTCAACTTGACAGAGTGGAAGCAGGTAAGTCCCCTTGGGTAAGGCATTTAAATTGTCAGAGTCTCTAAAAAATAAAGAAAAAGAATAGAGCCCAAAAATTTGCAGACAAATCAAGCATGATATATGCTATCCTACTACACACACCTATATGCAATAGTTCTCATTTAGCTCAAGCTAAATTAACTATCATATATCAATATATAAGTCCATCTATATATACATATGCAGTTGCCAAGCTTTATGAAGATTATAAATATTATATAATGCTGTCTGCTTGTGTGCGTATCTGTACAGAGTATACGTTAGTCGGGCAATACCGGCTAGATCGCGTATGTTTGATTTTGCTGCTTACCTTTAAGCAAGCGCCAATATGCTTGACAGAATCGTTATCTATATGCGTTCGTTAATGGGTTAAGCAATCCATGTTCATATTTTCTACATTTTTATTTATTTTTGTTTCTTTTGCTTTTTCGATATTATGGTGCGCCATCTTTATGTCAACGTCAACTCCAATGCCCTGTTATCAACTGCTGCTTCTGTGACTACCCCATAAAAATACATAATAACAACAACAACAACGATGACGACGACGATGACGACGACAACAATTTTGGACATTGGATGGTCGCTGGAACTGTTCTTGACTGGCATGTGGCATTCAATGGCTTCCGTTGCCGATGCTCATTCTGTTTGCACTTATCGGCGAATGCCCATGGCCCGTGGTGGTGCAGTGGTACGACTTGGAGAATCCTGAGGAGGTGGAATGCCCCGGCGAGTACAACATCAAATGCAATGCATTCCAGGCAAGTGCCGCTGCTCCTGTGTGCTTTTGCTTTGCATGCTTTCAGCTTCAAGTGGCTGCCGCTTGGCCCTAGTCCGAGTAGGTCCTTGCCAGGAGCTGCCGTTGCCATCGAGCGTTATTGGATTTCGTACTTTATGCTCGTTTCTAGTGGATTATTATGTACAAGCCGCACACACACACACACACACACACACATAACAGCCATGCTCTTACACAAACTCCCCCACACACACAGTCTGGGCTGGTTCAGTTTTACTCGACTTTTGCTACGTCCTGCAACTTTGGCGCACATTTTCTGCTTAAGTTATTAGCAGCCTGTTTTTGTCAGCCAGCATGGCTGTATCTTTAGTGTGTGTGTGTGTGTGTGCGGGTGTGTGCATTACCATATTTTATCAATTTTCCAAGCCATTAGATGAGCGGCAATTTACGCCGGCAGTCGCACTTGAAACCAGCGGCGAGCCCAATTTGCACTTGAGCTAAGCTAGAAACCACAAGGACGATGGCGACAGCCACAATACAAGTTCTGGCAAGGACTAACTATATGGCACATCGATGAGCGCCGTCAGTCATCGTCGCTGTCATTGTGCTATTACAATGTCCAATGTCTAAGGCCGATTCATTTCTCATGCTCTTACCACAGAAACTGCTGTTCCTGCGCTGCTTCCGTGTGGATCGAATTTTCCGTTGCATAAATCAATACATTGTGGAGACCATGGATGAATTCTATATTATGCCACCGGTAGTTAGCTTCTCCGCCGTCTATGAGCAGACGACCGCCTCGATTCCCGTTTGCTTCATACTCAGTGCCGGCTCAGATCCAACCAATGATCTGATTAAACTGGCCGATATCGTACTCGGAGGCATGGGCAGTTTCTGTCACATTTCACTGGGCCAGGGGCAGGAGAAGACTGCATTGACAATGCTAGACACCGCCCTCAGACAGGGTCAATGGTTGATGCTGCAAAATGGTCATTTACTGGTAAAATTTGTGCGCGAATTGGAAAAGTATCTGGACAAGGTCGAGAATCCGCATCCGGACTTTCGGCTATGGATTACCACTGATCCAACACCGACATTCCCCATCGGCATATTGCAAAAGTCCCTAAAGGGTAAATATCTTATTAGCTTTATAAGCCATAAGCCCCTATATTCTCCATACCCTATCTGTAATTAGTGGTCACTGAACCGCCCAACGGCTTGAAGCTGAACCTGCGCTCGACATTCTTTAAGGTGCGTCAGGATCGTCTGGAGGCGTGCTCTCATCGCGCCTATCGTCCATTAATCTATGTGCTCGCCTTCTTCCATGGTGTTGTGCAAGTGAGTTTTCAGACAACAAAAAGCCAAATTTGTAGCTGCATACGAAGGGCTGGCGCAGCTGCTCCGTCTGTGCCATGCACTTCGTTATTTATTAATTTGTTCATTTTTAGCTGTTTGTTGAGAGCATTTTGGACACAACTGCGCCCAAGTTGGCCAATTGATGGAGCTGCCATTGTGCTTTTTGCTCAGCAAACTGTTATTGATAGCGCAGTTACTTTTTCCCAAATTAATCTGTTTCACATGCCCTCCCTATTCGAATTCCCTATACACTAGGAGCGCCGCAAATACGATAAGCTTGGCTGGAATATAGCGTACGATTTCAACGATACGGACTTTGAGGTATGCACGGAGATTCTGCGCAACTATTTGAGCCGCTGCGCCGAGGATAAGATACCCTGGAATAGTCTCAAGTATCTCATTGGCGAGGTCATGTACGGCGGCCGAGTCATTGACGATTTCGATCGACGCATTACCAACTGCTATATGAATGAATATATGGGCGATTTTCTGTTCGATGTCTTCCAATCGTTCCACTTCTATGAGGATGAGCACGTGGACTATTGCCTGCCCGACGAGGAGACTGTACTTAAAGAGGACTTCATTGGTAAGTAGTCAGAGCATCTGTTAGTGGGACATGGTTAACAAACGAAATGCATTGCTCATAGCCCACATTGACAAACTGCCTCTGGTCAATAAGCCGGATGTATTTGGTTTGCATCCAAACGCGGAAATCGGTTATTACACAATGGCCGCGCGCAATATCTGGAACAGCCTGATTGAGTTGCAGCCACAAACTGGTGAGTGACTGGCCAATGGTGTACACCAAAAAATTCTGGGTACATTGATTTCATGCCACACTTTATTCAATATGCTTACCAAGTTGACTTTTAGATTTTTGCAAGTTTTTATATACATATATGTATTTACTAAAGATTCATAGATTTATGAATGCATTCGCTTAGCCAATTTTTTTATTCGAAAATATTTTCCCTGCAATCAGACCTTAAGTATGTTCTGCTCATTTAATGATTTTATATGTCGTATTTAATTCGGTTTATTTTTATCTGCAATTAATATTTTATGTTGTAATACGAATTCTTAAACGAATATAAGAAATATTCAGGTATATATATTTATATTTTTTTTAGTTTTTTATACGCATTTTGAAAATTGACCTGCTGCTTGAATGTGACATGAGCTTACACATGTATCTGCATCCGATAAAGTGTTTGACAGTTCGGTTAAAAAACGGAAGCCATTTACAAGCAAATGGTTTAATTTACATACATGCAGCGTGTGCCAATTGTCAGCCGTTTATTACATTTTATCTTGTTGATTTTCATTTCTGTTGCATTTTGGGCATGTTAAATTTTTAATTTAATTTAATTAATTAGTTGCGGTTTTGCAATTAACTTTATTGCATGCGCCATTATAGCCGGCATACAATAACAGGGCATGCATTAAAAATTAAAATAGAAGCACACACTCGACACACACACACACACACACACACACACTCGACACACCCACACATACTCAAACATACATTCGTTCACGCATTTATAGCCACCCGCACACCGCAAATCGCCACAAATCGCCGCAAAAAAGCTGCGAATTCAGTTTAAACCTCTCATTCGCAACAACAAAAATTGGTGAAAACGTCACCCGAAAGTCGATAATTTTGCGTTACGAGCTTAAGCGTGTTAAAACCGCCATCAGAGAGCACTTTTCCGCTTTCCGCACTCGCACTCGCACTCGTACTCGATGCTGTAATATATGCACAAACACACATACGTACATGCGTATGCCATGTCCAATGATTGTGCAAAAATGTTTTAACTCCATGTATATATATGTTCAATTTAACCAAATTTTTGCTTTTTTGTAACACCTTTGCGCGAACGCAGCTACCAAGTGGACACCAAACAATGTCAAAACTGGTAAAGTATTTAACGTAAACAGACTCCCCGCTCCCTCACTTACAGACAGCCTGTTACATTTAAATGAAATAATAAGCGCGACGATGCAGCTGATTTAAAAAATAAAGGAAATGGACGAACATTTACCAAGTACAATCGAACAAATTTTTGCCGTGATATATATATATATATGTACTTGTACGAAAGGAGAGACTAGGAAATACTCTGTAGATTGGTGAAAAGTGACACTATTTTTGGTACCCCAAATCTAGCATCCGTTTTACCATAATTAATAGTTCCAAGAGATCTTTATTGATGAACTTACCTCGGCTTCGGCCGCGTCCTCGGCCTCATACTTCGCCGTCATACTACCATTTTTGTGTTAACAGATGAAATTGACCTTAAATATTTTTACTTTCACACAGAACAATTGCAATTGCAATTCTATTTATAGAATATAGAAAATTTGACCATTCGTTTTCATTGAGCGATATTGTTGATATATGATATATGATATATATAAACAATCCCAAAATTATGGGAACATACGTCAATACTGATCTACATGCAAATTGCTGCAAAAATCAATCTTATATAACACAAATTGGTGTGTACTTTCCAAAAAAAAATGTCCTCTTTAATCCTGCTTCTCTTCGAATATGTTCCGCTTTTATAGGGTACCTCTGAAATACTGCCGACAATTTGCATATTCATGAGCTTTAGTATTTGCTAATTGACAATTACAAATCGGAACAGTCGAGGATAAAAACAAGAAATAAATAAAAATTAAAATGTAAAAAGGGTATAAAAAAGAAACAGTGTAAACCACAAATGTTGCATATATAACAATGGGAGCTTTCTCTGCCATTGTCAATCCTTACTTATTTCACAACTCCTCCATTTAGGTGAGGGTTCGGGCGGCATCAGCCGAGACGACTTCATCGACCTAGTGGCTGCGGGAATACTGAAGAAATTACCGCCCGCCTTCGAGACCTGGCGCATCCGCAAACAAATCCAAATGAGTCTGTCACCCACAGGCGTGGTGCTGCTGCAGGAGCTGGACCGATTTAACATACTGGTGGTGCGCATCAAGAAGACGCTGGAGCTGCTGCGCAAGGTAACTAAGAGATTGCCATGGCTGTGGCTCTAGCAGCGCCTGTCAATGGGCAGCTCACATAAATCCTTCAGCTTTGTTTTGCATTTTGTTTATGCATTTGCCAACTTGGCTGGTGACTCGTGCCAATGCTCGTGGTCGCCCACGTCCTGCCCATAAGCAAATTCGAATGCGATTCTGCATTTTGTTGCCAAAATAAATTTACAAATGCAAATGAACTCTGCTGCTGCCGCTGCCGCTGCTGCTGCCGTTGCCATTGTCTTGGCATAGATGCCGCCGCGCCCACACAAATAGTCATGCCCCTCACCCATTCATGCATGCATATGTGCTGTCGTTGTGCCTTTTAATTTAATTGCATGCTCTCCGCAGGCCATCGCCGGCGAAATCGGCATGGACAATATCCTGGACAACATTGCCAACTCGTTATTCAATGGCCTGCTGCCAGCCTCGTGGGCCAAACTGGCGCCGGCCACATGCAAGCAGCTGGCCAGCTGGCTGGAGCACTTAAAGGTGAGTCGCATACCCGGCCACAGTAGCGGCCCATTAATCAGCTTGACGGACCAAATCAGTCAGATCCAGACCCACTAATCAGCGATTCGCTTTTACCTGGTATTTTAGAAACGCGCCGTGCAGTACAAGTATTGGTCAATATCGGGCGAGCCGCTGGTCATGTGGCTGTCCGGCTTACATATACCGCAGAGCTACCTCACGGCCCTGGTTCAGGTTAGCTTCGAATGAGTTTCTCCATAATGGCAGTCTGCTTAACATAGCGCTACCTCTACCCCTTCGCAGATTGCATGCCGCAAGAACGCCTGGCCCCTGGATCGGTCCACGCTATTCACCTATGTGACCACCTACTCGGAGCCCGATGACGTCGAGGAGCGCCCAGCGACGGTGAGTCGAGTCGTCCAGCTCTAAATGCAAAACTATGACCCCCCATGTGACCAGCAAAGGAGTGCTGCCCGCCCTCGCCTGGCACTAATTTCGTAATTAAGAATTCTGTTTGCATTTTAATCGTTGAACTTTTTGCAGGGCTGTTATGTGCATGGCCTGTACATAGAGGGGGCACGCTTTGACATGCAGGTTGGCCAACTGAAGCGCTCGCATCCAAAAGTTCTGGTCGAAGAGCTGGCCATTCTGGCCGTGGTGCCTATTGAAGCGCACCGGCTTAAGCTACAGGTTTGTATTTATTCCGCTGCTGGCTTTTGGCCTGGGCTCGACGCCGTCTGCAAAAGACAAGTACTAATGTTCTCCTGTATCCTGTATTCTGTATCTACATATGCGTTTGGTTGGCGGAGCGTAAAACGTGAATTGGGGGTGGCTGGTGTGCTCGCCCTCGCTGATATTTGTTTAAATGCTGTGCACTAAATTACCAACAGCTTCCGCATTCTCCGCAGCTAATGGGACAGCTGTTGTGCTAATTGTTTCTGATTTTAAATGCGGGGTGCTTTAACTTTTGCCACCACTAAAGGGGCAGCGACAGAGTATAGGAACAGCCAGTCCAAGCTTTTTTGAACAAAGTAGAGTAGGGCTAGATCAGGAAACTGAACAAGCTAAAAATAGTATATTTCGACTTGAAATCCCTAGTCTGCCTAATACCACACATTTTACAGTTCAAACTAAATTCTATATTTTCCATTAGGTGCAGTAGTAAATATACCCATTTAAATTCCTCAATAACATTAGCTATACCCTTGCAGAATACATACCTGGCGCCTGTGTATACCACATCGCTGCGACGCAATGCCATGGGCGTGGGTCTGGTGTTCGAGGCGAACTTGGCCACCTCCGAGGATCTGAGTCATTGGATACTGCAGGGAGTGTGTCTAACATTGAATACGGATACATAGAGATGGCGATGAAATGTGTTGAACGCAATTATCTGTATCGTTATCTAGATGAACGCAAATAAATGTATATTTGCAAATCTGTATTGGCAATTATTAATGTACGCTATGTATATTGTGTCTACAAGTGAAGTTCTAGTGCCTTTCAATATCGTGATTTGTGCCTTGACGGTCTCTTGCTGTGCCGCATCTCCTGGCATTACCTGCGCCGGCAGCAGCCAAAACAGCTCTTCAACTTATCCAAAATATTTGATTTCATGGAGGGCAAGAGTAGTTCCAGATTCTGCGTGCCGCCGCTGTCATCGGAGTCCAGATCCGACTCGATGGTCATCTCCTGTATGCTAAAAGTGTCGGTAAGTTCGTGGTTCTGCTGACGTCGTTTGGCACGCCTTAGCTGTGCAGGAAAGAAGGATATCTCCTCCGCCTCATCGCTGCTCTCAGACTTATAATCGACCAGCGGCTTTTGCTCCTGTTCGCCCGGAATGGGCAAACGATTAATAGGTATTAGTGTTGCCGCTTGTGTTTTAATTGCCTAGACAATAGATGAACTATATATCATTAGCTCAGAGACTTTCAATTTGATTTACTGCACCCACCTGCTCCTCCTGAAACTGGGTATAATTGCGCCTGGCACGCTCGACCTTCAGTTCTAGCTTACGTTGCAGTATGCGGCAGGTGTTTGGCGGTTCGTTGCGCTCCGTCCCTCGGGCAGCCCTATCTTCATCGATTTCAATGGTCGTCGGCGCATATACCTTGCTGGCACCCCTAAATGCCACCTCAAACTCCAGATCCGACATATGTTTGGGCGCTCCACTGGCTGTTTTCTGCATTGGGCTCGGCCGTGACTCTTTGTTTCTGTGTTGAGCAAATTGACAACTTACCAGCAAACCCGCTGCACCATCCTCATATATATTTGATTGTCTATCCTCACTATCTATGCCGCTGTCCTCCATACTTCAACGACTTAAACTATGTTTTGGTTTGTTCTAAATATTTTGTTATAAAAAGAACAGCACGCGATGACAAACACAAACAAATTTTACTATCTCTCTCTGTGTACTACTCCAAACTCCAAGCCATCCACCCTAAGGCAGAACAGCGCAGAATCCAGCAAACAGCTGCCGTGTGGCGCTCGTTGGAAAATCAATAACCCCTTATTGTACGGCGTTGCCATACTTTTTGGTGATTTGAAATGAATATTGTGTGTGGGTGGTTGAAGAATAAAAGGGTTATAGTATTTATACATATGCACTCTTTATTATATAATTTTAATTTATTTACAAATATTTTTTAGACTTAAATTGCTTTACTCGTTGCACAAATATCGTAGAAAAAACACTAAATAATATTTATAAAATGAAAATAAGTTTTAGCCACTTTCTTCTATGGATTGAATTTAAATCAAAAATAAATAGGAACAAAAAACATAAAGTACTAATACTATTTTCTTTTGTGCTGGAAGAAATCATCGTATATAGGATATATATGTATATGTATATGTATTTACTAAGCAAAACGTTCGTTATTTTATTTGATCTGTGGGCTATGCAATTGGCGGGTTTTTGGTCTCTCTGCTGGTTTTGTGACATTGCTAATTATCTGAATATTTTCTGGTTTAAACTCAATTCAATGCAGAAGTCCAACAAAAATGCTGCTAGGCTTTAAAGTTTGGTATGGAATTAAAGCGCATTAGGATGAGGCTGCGCTATCTGGCCTGCCAATGTGCAGGATCTGCAGCAGAACTGCGCATAGTACTTGTTCACACAGTACTGGCCCTGGACAATCAGCTTGCAGTTGGCGAAATAGGGATTGTCAATACATTCGGGCGATACCGGTATGACAGCTGCAAAGACAAGTTAAACTTTAGTATAATCCCCTCCTCACACATTCATCCGCTTACATTCGATGGTAACTGTCTCCTGGCTGGTGCTGTAGCTATAAGCATTGCGCGCTGTGCAGCCGTAGACGCCGGTATCCTCGGTGGTAACATCATGGATGACCATGCGATGCGGGTCGGCTGGGCGAAGTGAAAGAGAAGGAGAAAAATTAACAGAGCTCTGATATTTTGAGAGAGATTGTAGCCTTACATGTTATTTGGATGCGCTCGTTGACGTACAAAGGCGTGTTATCCTTAGTCCAGGTGACATTGGGCGCCGGATTGCCCTGCACCGCGCAGCCAATCGCAATTGTTGAGCCGGGCGTGTAGCTATTTTGCGGGTCCAGGCCAATGACAGCTCGGGCATCGACTATAAGGAGATAATATAAATTTTCAATTACCTTCAGCTCTAAGCAACTCAAAAAACACAAAACAAACCATTCCGAAAGAGTATCATGCAAATTGTACTTACTTCTCGGATCGTGCACAACAGGGGGTGGCACATAGACCGGACGCGATGGTCTATATGGATATGTGGGCCTTTGAGTGACGGGCGCCGTTGCCGGATCAATGATATACTGCAAATATTTGGCATCCTCATTGTTGACAGCGCGTGCTGGGCCTACCGCCTTAAGCGTAACATGCAGCGAGACGGGACGTCCTTTGTTATTATACACATCGCATGTATACAGGCCCAGATCGGACAGCTGTATAGAGCGGAAGAACAGCGAATAGTCGCGGTTCATCTCAGCGCGACTCGTCTCACTGCCCATGCCGAAGAGGTGATTGTTGCGCCACCAGCTGACATGGGGCGCGGGCTGACCACCAGCCGGGCAACGGACCAACGCCGGTCGGTTCAGTTGCACGATTTGGGTGGCGTTCTTATCGCCATAGATATAGGCAGGTACATCTCTAGGCTCTACCAACACCAACACGTAACCAAAAACATGCAAATTGTTAAAAGCAAGCAACATGCAAAATTGCGCAAAAAAAAATCAGTTAGTTCTGAAGCCAACACCATTTAATACAACTATAATCTTCGAAAGTCCGAAGTTTTTAAAGCCATGTGCAAATTATTTCCAAACAGAATTAACTTAGATTATTTTCTAAGGCTCTGTAGCGAAAATCGTTTGTGAGCAAAAGTCCTCAAACCATCTACGAAAACGTTGATTCCGAGCTGAAATCGATACAGTTAAAACCCGATTTGAAGCCCATATATATATATAACAATATATCCAACAGACACAGTTGTTGTTTTGAATATAACTGCGGCTGAGCCTAAAGTTCTTCAAGCGGACCAAATTTTTGCTAAAATTTCTATCTTCTCTCTCCTTCTGCCTAGCTCATTTTAGTACTAAAAGTGTGCACCCACATTCGCTCATATTAATTTACATTTAAAGAATTTACAGATGCTTATGGGAAAGTTTAAGTAAATAGATTGACACGCACCTGTTACTTGTAGTGCGACTTCGCGACGCACTGGCTCGCCCAGGCCGTTGCTAGCGACGCAAACATAGGTTCCATCATCGGTTTGACGCACTTGGACAATGGTCAGGTCACCGTTCGAGGTGAGCACATAGCGACCTTGGTTCGTGTCAATCTAAAAGTGGATATAAAGTGCGCATCAGGTTTTGGTTCTTATTGAAAACCTGTTGAATTCTTACCACCACATTCTTTAGGGACCAGGTTATATTCGGTGCCGGGTTGCCAGTTGCAAAGCAACGTAATACTGCAATGCCGCCAATCGAGGTCTGCACATCCAGTTCCTGTGGCTGCTTAGTCTCAAGCGTGGCTCTTACTTCGCCTGGGTAAATAACTGCCGGCGGTGGAGTATTTGGTCGGCGTGTGGGACGTGCTGGGCCCACGCAAAGATGTCCACAGCCATCACTGCAGCACTTGTTATCGCCACGACAGTCGGCATCGGTATAGCATTCCCGGGCGCATTCGCTGGCGTTGGCCGCCAACTGTGGGCAGACACCCGGCTTGTTGATGTCACGGCAGACGGGCACAAACTGATTGTCACGATCACCGGCGCCGGACACATCAATGGCACACTGTTGACCGTCGGGACAAGGGTAGCCTTCGCAGGGATTCAGGCAGATGCACTGCTCGCACTCCGGCTGTGATTCAGCGGGCACCCGACGCACGCCGTACGGGCAGCGCAGATCACGGCACTCGTTATCGTAGGTTTCGCACCGGCTGGGAGAGATTTCGTTGCCGATCTCATTCTCGACTGGCTCTGTGAAAAGTAAAAGTGATCAGTTTTGGTATTCGCAGCGGTAATTCAGCTAAACTACCAAGTTGCGTGCAAGCTTATGTCTAGTGAACGTGCTCTAACTAAGTACTTCTACTAAGGAATGCTACTTCTACGCTTAACCAATCAAGCATTTTGAAGTTTGTGAAGATAGTGAGGCAGGGTGCAGAATTTGGTGTATTTGGGGTGGGTATTGATTTGAGTGCAGGGTGCTCGGGTGCAGTTGGTATTAAGTGTCAGCTCTGTGGCAGGCTTACTTCCGCATTGATTTGTGCATGCTTCAAAGGAACGGAAGTTGTTCTGGTTGCCTGAGCAACCCGAGTAAATAAAGGACACGCAAGTGCCGCGCTCATCGTCGTAGTACCAACGACGCTCTTGTACCGCGCGGCCGTTGCACACACCGATGATCACCGGTAGCCGGCAGATATCTACTTACGTCCAAACAAAATTAAATTCAAAATACAAAAATAAATTAAACGATGTGCTCGCAGTTCTGACATCTATCGTTGTTACCTTTGGCCGCACCCGAAGGCTGTGGCTCGCGGCCGGCCAGACAAACCGTTTGACACTCATAGAGATCGTTGAAACGGTTGCCAGTGCCATCGCAGCCACCATAGGTGAAGGGCTGGCAGGTCTGGCTATCGCGATCGTAGTAGTAGCGGGTCTGCCACTGTGTGCAGGGACCCCTTGTCACCGGCTCATTGCAAACGTCTAACACAACACGTTAATAAAACTAGGACACTTTTTAATTATATATAAATCGTTTGACTTACCGACACCCTTGAACTCGCCGCACTGGCGTTCGCACTGGTCGCGGGTCTCGAACCGATTGCCATTGCCGCCACAGCCGCTGTAGCTAAAGGCTGTGCAGGCCATTTTCTCGTTGTCGTAGAACCACGCGGTGGTCTCGTTGTCGCATTCTCCGGCCTCGGGAGGTTGTGAGCACACCGAAAAGGACTAAAGGCAGCAAAGCGTGAGCACCTATAAAAACGGATTATCTAAGTTTACTTACAGGTACTGGCGGTTCCGGTTCCGGCTCCGGTTGCGATTGATCACGACGACAGTACTCTAAGCAAGAACGTTCGGTCACAAAGTTATTTCGATTGCCGCGGCAGCCTGTGAACTCAAATTGATGGCAGGCACCGGTTCGTTCATCAAAGTACCACCGCTGTGAGATATCGCTGCAGCGTCCGGCCACTGGTGGCAGGGAGCAGGTCTCCTGCGCGGGATGGCAGTCATTCTGGCACTCCTCCTCGGTGGCAAAGTTGTTGTCATTGCCGCCGCAGCCAGTGTAAACAAACTCATCGCAGAGTCCCTCCTGGCTATTGTAGTACCAGCGCGTTGTGTTCTCATAACAGTTGCCAGGCTCTGGGGCCCGGAAGCACTTGTCCGTTTCGGATTCTGGGCGCGGTTCCTCTTCTACGCCTGCAATGCAACGCGTTGAGCAATCCTGTTCGGTATCGAAGCGGTTATCGTTTCCCCCGCAGCCACCATAGTAGAACTGCTGGCAGCTACCCAAAGTCGCATTATAGTTCCACTTGAGCACATACTCAGCACAATCGCCCACAGACGCTGGCTGATCACACAGATTTCCTGACGGCTGTGGTTGCGGCTGGGGTTGTGGTTCTGGCTGCTGTCTGCCACAGCGCTGCAGACAGTCAGATTCGGTCTCGAAGCGGTTGCCATTGCCTCCGCAGCCACCATAGTAAAATTGGCGACAAGCACCACTAGACCTATCAAAGATCCACTTAAGCGAATAACTGTCACAATTGCCGCGTTCCTCCGGCTGATCACAGACATCCACAGCGCTCTGCGCTGGCGGAGGAGTTGGTGGCTCTGGTTTCTTCTCACAACGAGCCATACAAGCCTCTTCGCTGGTGAAACGATTCTCATTACCGCCGCAGCCGCCATAGTAGAATTGGCGACAAGCAGCATCCTTGGTATCGTAGTACCAGGCAAATACATAGTTGGCGCATTCGCCGACCTCAGCGGGAATATCGCAAATGTCCTTGGCTAAGATAATGAGACAGTGTTAAAAGTGTTTGAGCTTTGGAAGACAGGTGTTCGCACATTGAAAGCGATTGCAACAACACTGAAAGCTTACCAACTTGTCGAGGACAATGGTCCTCGCATGATTCCAATGTGGGGAAATTGTTTTTATTGCCACCACAACCCGTGTAGTAGAAGGGCAAGCAACGCTTCTCGGATTCGGAGAACTGCCATCTGGCATGTTTCTCGCTGCAATCACCGGTTTGCTTAGGCAGTGAGCATTGCTCTGAGTATGTGTGTACGTGTGAGGCGAGGATAACGTGCAGGAGTTCAGGTTATAGATAGCAAGTAGCAAGCAATCATGCACAGACAAAAGCCAAGCAAAGGAAAGGAAATCGTGGAAAAACATACCATTAGCCAGGATAAAATAAAAAGTTCATGCTTAAATCTTAAATCTATCCCAAGGCAAAACATTGCTAATACACATTACGCTACCAAACCACGGTAAATAAACAAATTAAATCTCAAACCTTTAAGCACTCCAGGTTGGCGACAGCTGTAGCTACAAGCGTGTTCAGTGGGATAGTTGTTCTTGTTGCCCTTGCAGCCACCATAGCTGAAGGGACGACACACATCGGTCTGGTTATCGTAGTACCATCTCTCATAGTTGCCGCCGCACGGTCCGCTATCCACAGGCTGCTCACAGGCGGCTATAATGGAATATGGAATAGAAATTCAATTCGAAATTCAATTTAGGTACTCATATATTTCACCCTTAACTTACGTAAGCTCTCGCTAATGGCGCAGGTCCTCTGGCACTGCTCGAGACTGTCGAAGCGATTGTTGGTGCCGTACCAGCCGCCATATTGGAACTCCTCGCAGCGATTGCGATCTGTATCGAAGTACCACTTCTTGGTGTTACCCTGGTAGGGGCCAGAGCTCTTTGGAAGCAGGCAAACATGCTGTCCGGTGTATTCCTGGCACGTTTCCTTGCATTCAGCCTCGGTCTCAAAACGATTTCCATTACCCTCACAGCCGCCATACCAGAAACGAGCACAGCCTCCATAGGTTGTATCAAAGTAATACTTGACGCTAAAGTTGCCACAGCTACCCTGTTCCTTGGGTAGACCGCAAGCCTTCTGTGGTGGCTCTTGAACATTTTCGCAACCGCCGAACTTGTCATCCTGAGCCTTGGTAACACCATCTGGACAACACCCATACTCGGTCTCCACGCAGGTGCAGCCCTCAAAGTTCGGTCCTTTAGCTGGTGTCTTGCCATCCTCACAGCATTTGTGCTCTGACTGGGCACAGTGGCATCCCTGGTGATGTGGTCCCTTGGCAAAGGAGAGGCCATCTGGGCAACAACCGAATTGCATTGTTTCGCACGGGCAGCCCTCAAATTTGGGTCCTCTGGCAGCTGTGATCTTGTCTGGACAGCAGCCGTGTGGAGTGGTCTCACATGGACAGCCCTCCTGTTGTGGTCCACGCGCCGATGTCTTCTGATCGGCACAGCAACCATACGGAGAGGCTTGACATTCACAGCCCTCAAAGTTGGGTCCATATGCAGATCGGATGTTGTCGGGGCAGCAACCGTAAGGTGTATTAATGCAGCAACCCTCGCCCTGTGGGCCGTGAGCGGGCGTTTGATTGTCTGGACAGCAGCCGAATGGTTCGCTTGTGCAAGCAGCACAGCCTTCGCCATTAGGACCTGCAGCAGGAGTACGACGATCTGGGCAACAACCGTGCTCAGACTTATCACAGCCTTGGCGATCTTCATGTTCTGGACAGCCAGCGAAATTCTCACCCTTGGCAGGTGTCTTTCCATCAGGACAGCAGTAGAATTCAGTGAAGGAGCAAGATGTGACAGCGGTATCCGACTCTGTTGACAAAGTGGAATCGCCGGATCCTTCAACTTCGGTGGATGTGGTAATAGTTGATTCTTCTGTTGTTGTTGGGGGCAAGGTTGTTGGCTCTGGACATCCTTCGTTATTCTCACCCTCGGCAGCAGTATATTTGTCGGGGCAACAGCCGAAGAGCGTCTCCGCGCAATCCGATTTCGGACAGCCCTTGTTTCTTTTGCCCTCGGCTGGAGAAACCCCGTCTGAGCAGCAACCAAATTCGGTATCAGCGCAAGTTTTCGCAATTGGACATCCTTCGTCAAATGGTCCCTTGGCAGTTGATTTGCCATTGGGACAGCAACCAAATTTAGATTTTTCGCAATTCTTCTTCTTCGGCTTACATTTACGTAGTTTATCCTTTGTCGGGGTAAGAGTTGTCTCCCAGGTATGTGGAGTGCTAGATTCATTATCGGCATCAGACGTGCTCCAGATATCGTTGGTAGTTCCTTCCTCCGTAGATAGCGAACTACCAGTTGAGCCCGATGAGCCTGTAGAGCTGTCAGACGTAGTATCTGTAGTCGCCCCACTTTCGGTTGTACCTCCACTTTCGGTGGTGGCCGTCGAGTCAGAAGATTCTGAAGAAGTAACATCAGTGGAGGAAGCATCGGTAGACACGGTGGTTTCAGAAGAGCCATCGGTAGACGCTGAAGAGCCTGTGGATTCAGAAGATTCACTTGTAAGTCCCGTTGTTTCTGTAGAACCACCGGTGGAGCTAGAACTGTCGGTGGAGCTTGAGCTGTCGGTAGAACTAGAGCTGACGGTGGAGCTTGAGACGTCAGTAGAGCTGGAGCTTCCTGCAGTCGTTGAGCCACTGCTTGAACCCTCCGAAGTACTTTCCGATGAGGTAGAGCTTTTTGCTGTCGTAGACTCAGTTGATTCCGAAGATTTGGAGGAGTCAGTTGAGCCATCGGACGAGCTATCAGTAGAACCTTCGGTGGAACTATCAGATGATCCAGAAGACGAGCCATCAGAAGAACCAGTCGAAATATTTGTCGAACTGTCAGTCGAACTATCTGTAGAGCTCTCTGTAGAACTATCGCTTGCACCATCCGTCGATGTATCAGTAGAAGCATCAATGGAGCTGCTACTATCGTTGGTTGTTGACCCATCTGTAGATCCTTGTACGGTGCTTTCTGTTGAGCCTGAGCTTGTGGAATCTGTAGATTCAGTAACGCCAGTTGTTGAATCAGATGATTCGCTAGACGCATTACTCGTCTCAGAAGACGCGGTCGAGCTACCCTCTGTGGTGCTCTCAGTTGAGCCTGGTGAACTAGTCGATTGGGTTGATTCTGTCGATTGCTCTGTCGTAGTTTCAGTTGTTGTTGAGACAGTCGTATCTGTGGATACAGAAGAATCTGTCGAAGAAGAAGTATCTGTTGAAGTCGATATGTCTGTCGTGTCTTTCGTTGCATCACTTGAGGATTCTGAAGTAGATGATACACCTTCTGTTGAGCTACTAGATTCAGTGGATTCAGAAGATGAAGTAGACACTGATGATGAAGTTTCGATAGGCATATCTGTAAATCCACTGGAAGAACCATCAGTAGAGCCATCCGTAGATACTGAGGCATCTGTGGAGCTGGACTCTTCTGTTGAGCCTGAGACGTCCGTGGAACTTGAAGCGTCTGAGGAGCTTGAAACATCCGTTGAACTTGAGGCGTCTGAGGAACTGGAGCCATCCGTTGAGCCTGAGGTATCTGTGGAACTTGAGGCATCTGTCGAACTTGAGATATCAGTACTGCCTGATGACTCTGTTGAGCCCGAGACATCAGTTGAGCTTGAAGCATCCGTCGAGCTTGAGGCATCCGTCGAACTTGACTCTTCGGTTGAGCTCGTAACATCAGTTGAGCTTGAGTCTGTAGAGCTCGAGCTTGAGATGTCTGTTGAACTTGAGTCCGCTGAGACTGAGCTTGTGGAATCTGTTGTAACACTTGAAGTAGATTCAGTTGATCCCCCTGTTGAGGAGTCTGAAGTGGATCCCGATACAGAAGAAGATGAGGCCTCTGAGGTTGAATCACTACTATCAGTAGATCCACTTGATTCAGTGGACAATTCCGTGGATCCTGAGGATGATGTATCCGTCGAAGATGTATCTTCATCATCTCCACTACCTTCGGTTGAGAAGCCACTATCAGAAGTGCTTTCTGAGCCTGATCCTTCGACTGTGCTGTCGGTAGATGCAGAGGCTTCTTCAGAAGTTGTATAAGGACTGTCACTCAACATTAAATCGTCTGTGGTCGACATTGTTTCTGACTCCTCATCTGTAAAGTCAGAGGTGACCAAATCAAACTCGTCATCATCTTCACATTCTTCTTCATCATCCTCAATTGGCTTATCAGTACTAGTGAGAGGCAAAACCTCATCCTTAGTACAAGGGTGAGTATTACACTTTTCAGAAATTGATTCAACCTTTGACTCATCACAGTTGAGGGACTTCGTTCCATTGGATAAGCACAACACTTCGCGAGTGCGTTCCCCACCGCCGCAAGGCTTACTACATTCGCCGAAAGGCCCAGTGAACCATTCGCCAGGGCATTCCTTTTCTTCGCCTTCACATTCCTGGTCGGATTTTGGCTTAGTAGCTGCATCGCACTTCGAGTCGTCTGTTGTTTTAATGCTCTTCCCGTCAAAAATTCCACAGAGAACAATACGTGATTGAATGCCCTTTCCACATGGTGCTGAGCACTTGCTCCAATCGGATGAAAACCATTGCGACTCGCACTTCGAAGAAGTGCAGGGTCTGGACAACTCAGGCGCCTTTGATCCGCAAAACTTTTCTGGATATACCTTGCCATCCTTGGAGCCGCAAATGGCAGTACGGGTTTCGGTATTCTGACCACAGGCATCACACTAACGGAAAAAGGTTAAATCCTTTTAAGCCTTCAGTAAATAAATTTAACTTACACCACTCCATTGGGACACGATCCAGTCAACACCTTCGCAAGGTGCCAGTAGACAAGCTCTTTCCACCTCAGGCTTATCTTCCACGCAATCCTCATCCGGCAGGACACGCTTGCGACCGCTTTCCTCAATAAAACAGGTGACCTTTCGGGTTTCTTTGCCTTCGCCGCATAGCTTGTCACAGGGCTTCCAGGGTCCCAAATGATACTTCGGACAGTTCTTGACGTCACGATTGCACTCCTGAGCTGTTGCTGGCTTGTTTCCTACCTCCTTTAGGCAAACGGCATCGTCCTCCGCCGTGTGAACACTATGAAATATAATGTCTTTCATCATTTGTGTTCACTGGAGCACTAGGCACAACTTACCCATCAGACGAAATGCGCTCACAGCTAACAGTGCGATTTTGAAAGCCATCAGACCCGCAACCCTTTGAACACTTACTCCATTCGCCCTCAACCCAATGTGGAGCACATGGCTCAGTACCGCAGACCTGACTCTCGGCCGGCTTGCTCTGAGCCTCGCACAAAGCCTCATCGACTTCTTGTAAATTAATGCGATTGTTGCAGGTCACTTGACGGGACTGAGTTCCACCGCCGCAAGACGCGCTGCAAGGTCCAAACTCACGATGCGTCCACGTGTGTGCATCTGGCTGGCTATGGCTCAGAGATTCCGGGATGCTGTACTCGTAGTCAACGCTCACATTTTTGTCCTGCACCAACATTACGATGTAGATACTCTCGGATATGGGACCACTGCAAGTCAGCTGATCAGGCGCCGCAAAGCCCATCGGCTTGCGCTGATAGTTCCACCAGCAGCCCGCATAGAACATGGGACGTGGGAAATCAATGCGCCAGTTGCCGTTCAGATAATAGTGACCTGTCTGATTGCGACAGGCCAGATAGTTGTTCGATGGTGAAGATTCCTGAATGCGAATATTCGTGGCGCCTTGGGGCACGAGCAGCAGATCGTTATACCCAGCAGCCAGATCACTAGAGGTATACGTGTTCTGGATGGTCTTGCAGGTGCTGCCATCGCCGCCACACTTGCGGCACTTGTCCTCCTTGGCCTCGCTGCCCAGCATCATGTCGCAGCCAACCGGCATGCATTGGCCATTGACACAAACATCCAGGTCTTTGTCGTTGCACCGTGTGCCGTCCACGACCATCTCCCTCTGGCGATAGTAGAAGCGCTCGCCCTTGGGCATGCAGTTCAGCTCACAGGGATTGGCCGCGTTGGTGTAGGGCACCCATTCGTAAAGCACGCCATCGAATTTGGTATCGTCGAAGCGCGAGCACTGAAGAGCCCTGAAATCCGGCTCCTCCTCGGGACAGTCCTGTGTGTTACATGAATAGTAACGACGACTGCCGCCGCTGCACATAGCTTCGCCATTCGAGCTGAGTGGAAAGACAATTGTAGATTATTATAGTAACTTTGGGATTTCTGATATGGAAAGCTCACTCTCTACGGCGGCATTCGCGCGTCTGATAAGAAACGCCGCCTCCACAGGTGCGCGAGCAATCCGAGGGTGAGCTCCAGTCGGTCCACTCGTTGGGATCGTTGCCCTCGCCGCCAGGCGTCACGGAACTGGCGGGCAAATACAGATTTGCGCCATACTGTCTTTTTGCGCGGAGTCCAGGCTACAATTGAATAATAACTATAGAACTCGATCGATACGATTTGCCCTGGGTTTTACTTACGAATCTACTCTGTGAGTCTTGTATGCCTATAAGTACTATGAATGCTATCAAGGCAGTTGAGCTACAAGTAGAGAGAAATTGGAAATAATTTAATTAAATCTGTGCTCACAATACGCTCGCCCATTCATAAAAAGCATGAGGCACATCGTCACGTGTTGACTTGTTGCAAATATTTGTTGACTTTACCGCATGCTTGACCGCACAGGCTCATTTAAAAAAACCTAAAAGGCGGATGCGAGACAAATAACGATGGCGAGAGAGAGGGAGATGCGAGTCAGTCACTTGTCAAAGACTTTCTCAAAAGAGGCGCGCCATGTCCCTCAAAGGTATACAAATAAACTCTTGTAGGGCTTCGCTACAGCAGCAACAACAACAACAAAAGCGTGAACTTGTTTTTGTCCACTGGGCAGAGCAAACAAACATTGAACTTGTTTTTGCATTGTGCGGCGTAGTGTTGGTGGAGTGGGCGCTTGGTGGAAGTTGGTCAAGTCAAATTTTTGCAATTTCATTCTTTTGGTAAGAAAATTTTTTTATTGTGCCGCGCGACACTGGTCATAAATATGCAGTGCCACATAAACAAGACATAATTTAGCAGCGCTTCCTGCCGATTTGCCAAAAGAAAAGAACAAGCAAATAATAAGTACCCGCCAGCAGAGAATATATGATTATGCCACAGACAAGGCGACGCCGCAGCCGCAGTCACAGCTAAAGTCGACAGAGCAGTGCCTAGGAAGAGAATGAGCACGAGGACGAGGACGAGGACGAGGACAAGTTGCGTGAATATGTCAAAAGCGTTCAATGTTGCAGGCAGCAGAGCTTAGTGGCCCCCAGGCCAGGCTCATTGTTGGTGGCTTGCCAATTTAATTTCTGACGCTGCGTGCAAGGAGCCTGCGTTTTGTTACACTTGGACGCCTCCGACTGGCTGCGACTGCGATTGGGACTTTGGGGCACAGCAGGCGTGCTGCTTATGACAGGGCAGTGTGGCACGCCAAGTGTGTGGCCATAATTTTTATGCTTCTGTGTTGGCATTTTAATGCAATTTGAGCGCATTTCCCTTTTGAAACCACTGCCAGGACACCTATTGCTTTGGCAAGTGCGCCACGACAACGCCAGAACACCGACTATGACAACGGCAACGACAACGAGAAGGACAACAACAATGCCACGGCACACATTTCACAGTCCATTGAGCCTTGGCTGAACCGAGCTCGAGGCAGCGCGGCGACGCTCAGACGCCTTCTTTGCCATTGCGTCATACAAACAGGATACACTACCAGGACACTGTCGCAGCCTCGGACCAGGCGATTAATTGGATAGTTCAGTGGAATCTGCTGAGACCGCAGAAACCGCGACCAGTTCGTGAATTCATTTTTATGTGCGGTCGCCTGCTGATTACGCACAATTTTCTCACTACGTGAAACATATCCGAGTCTTGCCGATTTCAAAACATTATACACAGAATTCTTGTTGACACATATGGCGGATGCCACGTGACACAAACATAAACAGCTGTCGCAATCGTCAAATACATGTGTCCAAGCATTGCCCGTCCACATCAAATGGAAGCCACTGGAATTCAGCCTCCAAATAAATGTCAAACAGAGGCGTAAATGCTAAAAATTCGGCAGAAACTTTACAACAACATAAGATAACATCAGGGGCATGTCCAGGTTAATATATGTTTGCCAGTGTTACTGCTGCCTTTGTTCTGACCCCAATTGGATTATAGACGTCAATCTGGAGCAGCTCAGCACTGCTCGCTGCTCACTAATGGCCAAGATCAAGGCAGCGGCTTGTGGCGACTTTCGACAGCGTGGTCCAGGTCAATTTGCAGGCCCATTTAAGCCAAAATGAAAGGATTCCATTTAAACAATCAAACAATGGTCTGCATTGTTCGCTGTTTGGCTCAGAGAAATCTCTGAAGTACAATGGAAAACAAGAGTTCGTTACAATACAAGTAGGAGTAGTAATGAGTAAGTAGTTAAAAGTGATGAGTGCTCCGTCTAAATTGTTGTAAATTGTTTGTAACTACTGAATTTAAACAATATGAAATCGTTTGTTAGTGATGAAAATCGCATAGAAGGGCAATGTTTGAGAAGGATGCGAGAAAGTGTGAAAGAGAACTACTATCAAGAAATGCTCAATATTATCTGCCTCATGTAACTAATTTTAAAAACTAAACATTAAAACCATCAAGAAAACTGAGAACGTTTAGTTATGATATATTATGTATACTCTTGCTGATTAAGTATACGAAAGTGATTCAACAACTTGTTGAGTCAATATATGTGTTGGTCTACGAAAATTGAGTCGATTATTTGGTTCACACCCATTTGGGGGTAATGTTTGTTCACATTCAATTTACATCCTATGGATGTGCATGTATTTGGAAATGTCTGGCAAGCAACAAGTGCATTTGTGGGTTAACATGTTGCAATGGCCATCATAAATAACGGGCCTGTTTATTGGCCCCAACAAGAAGAACAAGAACAGCCATAACAATAGCACTTACTGTACAAGTGCGTGCACTTAGCCGCCAAGCTCAAGAACACAAACAAATGGTACAATACTTAAATTCGATGCTAAACAAAAGCCAAAAACTAGCTAAAATATGTGGCAAGTCGGAGCTAAATCTAAACAAAGCGTCGGCAACAAAAATAAATGGAAGGCAACCTCCACACCTGAATAGATAGAAAGCAGCGCGTTTGATTTGTTTATGTTAACGTGACTCATCGACGAGGTCGAGTCGAGCAAACGCCCCCACTTAGGCGAGGAGCATAAGGAGCGACTCTTCGCGCTGTTTCCCATGCCACTTGATTAACCCATACTGAATAGTTGGGCCCGGCACTTGTGGCACTTGCGGCAGCTGGGGCAGCTGGGGCAGCAGTGTGTTCTATTTAAAAGTACAAGAATGTACTGAAAGCCAATGAAAGAGTGCAGCACGCAGCACATTTGTGCGTACCATGCAGATGCCACAACAGCCTCAAACTCATTTCGCAGACCCCCGAGCCTTTGATGAAGATGGAATGCGTATGCCCCGCGTCTCCCCCACTCTGTGCCAGCTGCAATCATTTGACTTTGGCTGCCCCCTCGTTTTAAATGCTGATTGTAAAAAATGTTGGCATTTCTTATGTGCCTCAATGGAATTGCAACTGATTTCATTGCAGCAAATTGAAATGCAGTTAAAAAAAAAAAAAACGAAAAAAAAAAACAAGCCAACGTTGAACTCAAAGTCAAAATGATGCCAATCATTGAATGCAGAAAAATATTTAGCTAAACGCAAATTGAATCAAAAAATGACAAACATTTAAATACATTTGCTGTGATAAGTTGCCAATAAAGCCCCAAACTACCAAGGTTAGAATAACATTCAGAGCAATAGTTTTAGCCCAATAAGCCCATTGTGCATTGTATTCCAGAGTATTGTGGCTGCATTCGGGAGCGTGTAGTTTATTTGTCCTTGCAACAACAGGCAGCAATTATGTGCAGCTTCCCAGGCCTGGCCTCATTAGTTGAAAGGATACGTTGGCATTGCCATTTCAAATGTCACGCCCACAGATGGAAACGTGTAAATACAATTACATAGTCAGACAATTATCGCAAGACAAACACAGACTAATGCGAAACGCCAAATTGTGGCTGAGGTGTGGCCAGGCAAATGTTGCTGCTGTCAGGTAAATGTTGCTGCTGCTGCTGCTGCCGCTGCAGATGATGACTGCGGGGATGAGTCTATGAAGATGCTAGCACGATACGTCCACATTTGTTGCAACGGAAGTAAATGTTTGCATTGTTGAAATTTTAATTGCATTTGCATAAAGCCATGCACACACGACATTGACAGCTCGGCTTGGCTCAGCTTGGCTTCGCTTGGGCGCTCCTGCTGGCTGCCATTTTGCCTGGCAGCCAGAAACACTTGCCAAGCGTTACAATTATCAATTTCAAAATTAATTAAACTTAATTGAGTAGTGAAAATAATAAACATTAAACTGGAAATGTTTACCAAAGAAGAGGCACCTAGCGGGCAGAGTTATGCAACAGACGAGCCCCAACAAAGTTGCCTCTTTTCGGGCTAAAAGGCACTTCAGCAGCAGCAGCAGCAGCAGCAACAACAGCAACAACAGCAACAAAGTGTGCATAAATGCCTAATGAAATATTTGTCACGCGTTTGAACAAACGAGCAAAGCAAATGAGCAAACAGAATGCACAGTAAAGCTCTAGCACAGATAGAAAGAGACAGGCATATTTAAGGCAGAGAGAGAGAGATAGAGAGAGGGCGAATGATTGCTGCATTTGCTGCATTTCACTTTAGTGCTAGCTGCAGCAACTTACTGACCCATAAATTTCACTGGCTGACAGCGGCAGGCGAAAATGTTTGACTTTGCATAACACAACAAACACTTGTAAACAAATTTTTATGGCAAATGTTGCATCGGCTGGGCAGCAGGCACTTGAACTGCAATATTCGAGACACAACAACAAAATCAGCAACAGCAACAACGCCAAAAACAACAAACATGCCAGGCAGCTAATTAGAGGCATCATAATGCCTTCGACGCCTCATTCTCCCGCCTCGTGGCTCGCGGCACAGGCAAACATTGGCAATTTTCTATTTGCCCAACTCATTCGGTACGCGATTGCAACAAGCTGCTTCAAGTGCTTCAAAGTTGTACAATTACGAATACGCATACAAGTGCGAGTGCTACTCCAAGTACTCATAACTAATTGCACAGCGAAAACAAAGCACAAAATCATAAGGTATTAACTTTCGAACTTTCGAACTTTGTACTCTGTTGCGCCCAACTGGCCCGATTTATCAAGTCTCTGTATAAACAGTTTATGTGCTGGCCAGTTCTTAAAATAGATTCTCCAGGATGCGCATTGGTCGAAAAGATTTCTAGCACATAATTACCTGCAGACTTTTTATAGATATTTATTTAACTGAGTATATAGCTAATAAATTAGATACTCAACATTAATAAAGAAAAAGAAGAACTCAAAAATTGTGCACATTTTTTCTGCGATATACATTCATGTGTATTTGTATACACACATTGTAAACATAAGCGAAAGGCGTTTATTATGAAATTATGTAGAAACATTTTTCAGCCTCGCTAAAATAGCATTAAAACTATTTTACTATCAAGCATCCCATATATTTATTATGATAAATAATCTGCGCATGAATAAGATATATTTTGTGGCTTCGTAGATAAAATCTACAGTTAATGAATATGTTCTAACAGATTATATTCATTCTATTAAATATTTTATGGAATTTAAGATGCAAACAACTCAACAAGCTAGAATATCTGTACTAATTATTAGTTGGGGATAATAGGCACTTTCGACATTTACAAATATTTAGTCCTCCACTGGAATTCATTAATAATGAACCATCTGCACATTACTTAGCAATAAAACATAAGGATTAAATGTTCTCTTTGATAGCTTTAAGATTTTTGGGGCAGAATGCTTATACGCATTGTACCAGGACATTTTCCTGGAGATGTCGATGTCGTTCTTAACTATGTTGAGCTTATATGAAAGTAAATTGATATTTTTATTCAGTATACTAAAGTTGTCAACTCCATCAAATAACCTGGTTAACGAGGATCCGTAGCTACGCTATTGGACAACATGGATCAGGGTTCAAGTACACGGACCACCATTATAAGATGTGAGTCTTACAAGTAAGGATTGGTTCCAAGTTATACGTTTCAAATATCTTTAAACTGACAGATAAAAATCAATCTAATGAAAACTCGTGAACATACACATCAGCAAGCAGCTATTATGTTGTGTGTAAGTGTTTAATAAAGAAGGCGAACTTGACTAACTCAACAATGCCTCCGATATTGAAACGTTCTTAAAAAATAGCTCTTTCTTTTTGGCCATGACAACGTGACGAGCAACAATTGCAATTATTTACATTTATCGCTTTGAAGAGCAAAACGATGCTCGCGAATCCGACTATATTTTAACTAAATGACCGACAGCCAAAATGTAGAACAGACATTGATTTATTACGCAATTATCAACTGGAATTGTTATTCCCAGCACTGACGGCAGCATTTCTTGCAAATTCCTATCAACTGACGGGCTGTTGCTGCCATTACCATTTGCTTTGAAGGTGGCAGGTAAATCAAGCCATCTATCTACCTGTACAAGATGTATATTTATGTAAATGCTAAATGATGCAACAAGCTGCAGTTGCAGGCTGTCGTAAAAAAACTTGTCCTGTGCTTTTCTCCCGATGTCCCTATTTTATTTCAATTTTGGCTTTATTTTGCTCCTGTTCTGTCATCGGAATTTGAGTCACGTCTGCAACATCCCACAGCAACAGCAACATCAGCAGCAACAGCAACAGCAACAACAGCAACAACAACAAGCTGCCAACTCGTCTCTTTAGCCGGCAGTCAAAAGATTTTTATGGCTTTTTGCTCTGTCTGCCTCACTTGTTGCTGCTGCGACTGTTGCGAGTGTTGCGTCTGTTGCTGGCAGCGCAGCTTTTTGGGCACATTTTGCTGCATGTGACGCATCTCGTTGAGGCCTCTGCGCTGCCTGCTAATGCCCACTGTCACTCGGTTCCCTTGTGGCAAATTTTGGATATTTTTGCCGTCATGCGAATTTTTTTGGCTTTTTCTTTACGTTTTATTTTTTTATTTTTTGTTGTTTTGGGCCTCTGCAATTTTGCGGCGGCATATTTTGTGTGTTTTGTTTGGGGCATCCTTTTTATCTTCCGCGTTGCAGCGTGCGTCGACCTCATGAAAATGCTGGGCCTGCAGTCGACTATCGATTTAATTATGTATGTACATACATATGCATATGCTTATGTATGTGCATATGTATGTGCGTTGCTTTTGGGCGAAAAATTAACATATTTGCAACTGGTAGCCGGCATTTGATTTAACGCCAGGCTATGGAATAATTAAACACGATGTCGTCGGCAGCCTTTGTTAATTAAGCATAATGCATAAGGCCATGGGAACAAGATCTGCAGATCTACGCCAGCTCATGATCATTAACTGCCACTGGGGGGGGCCAGTTTGCAGTCGGCAGTCGGCAGTCGGCAGTCGGGACCTCAAGCACACATGTTGCAAATGCAGCGTGCAGCATGGCTGCCATGAACTTGGACCGTAATTGAGCCATGGAAGGACCGCAGCTGCTGCTGCAGCAGCAACCGCCACAAGAGGAGTCGTTTGTCCAAGTCTTTGGCGGACTCACAACAAATTAAACTGTTGCTCATTTGCCGCATCATTCGATATTCTCGTTAATTTCATTTTCCACCAACTGCATGCTCAACATCAAATTTCAAAATTCAACCACATTTCCGGCGTGTTTTTCGCGCCAGCAGCAGCAGCAGCAGCAGCAAAAGCATTGGGAACCCCTTGGAGTACATTAGATCAGCGTTTGTTTAAACAATTTATAAATAGTAATTAAGGCACAATTATGCAATGCGATGTGCTTTTGTTTGCCTCGTGCCAACGTGTCCGTCTTGGCTGCACGATTCGCCGGTTTCTTGGGGCCACTTTGTATCACATGTACGTGTATCATTTTCCTTTTCAAAGCATCAATTTGGGGAATTTATTGTTTATACTTAGATGAATGCTAACAAACACTTAATAAACAATTTGGTCATGTTGTTGTTGCTGTTCTTGTTCAAATTGTTGCTGGTCGAAATTTAGTGGTTTTCAGCGGAAAATTATAGTTTAAACATAACAAACAATACATATACATAAGAGGTAAGCATTTATTTTTGGGGCTCTGCATTAACTTGATCTACATACCTATTAAACTATGAACATAAACATGGCATATCATCTACAGCTGAATAACAATCTGCCTTATTTCGCTTACTCTGATCGACATTAACAGCGTCTGAGTCAAGTTCAAAAACGTCACGAGCCACAAAGTTTCGCAACGAGAGTCTTATACGACCAGTTAATGGCCCCACACACCGATGAGAGGGCCTTAAAATGTTTGGGTTGTACCATTAAACCACAGACTGTCTATTGACCCGGGCCGAGTTGATGTCGGCGACAAGTCACAGGTATCGGCCAGCTAAATAATCGACTCACTTACCGACAAAAATTTCAAGTTGGGAAATGGGGAGAATACTTGAACTGAGGCATTTGTTCGCCATGCAGCGCGCATTGCTATTTGCGAGAAATGTGCTTGAAAAAAAAAAACGAAATGATCAAAAACTGATAGGCCGAATTTAATATCATTAGCTAATGGTAAAATGTGGAACATCAATTTGTATTACACTCTGTATTAAAAGCAAGAAAACTGACAAAATATTCCCTGAACTAAGCATTGCATTTAATTCAAGTTGTTTCTCGCCTTTCGATCGAGAATAAATATCCAGTTTGTTTAACGTATGTTAGGCAGATTAAAAGAATATGTGTATGTTGGCGCAAACTTTGATTCAATCTATAGCTAAACACGTGTCATTATCGCCTCCGGCAAAGTCATCGCTAAAGAGGTCATGTGTTGGCCACATTCTGACGCAATTTCACAGAACAAAGCGCGGCCAGAAAAACAAAGCAGTCACAAAAAAAAAAATCTAAGAAATATAAAAAAAAAAAAAAGAAGCGACCTCGCCGTTGACAACGCGCAGCATTTTCCTTTTTCAAGTGGCAGACACAGCGTTTTTCGCGAAAAACTTTAAAATACTTGACGAATGAATGCGCTAACTGCCAGTTGGCCAGAGCCAGCGCCAGAGCCCGGCCAGGCCAGTGTCTGGCATGGGGGGAACAAGTTTCTGGGCATATTGGCCACCGGCCACCGCGACAGCAACTTTATGACTTTGGCCAAAAATAAAAACGCACACACACAGTGCGCTGCGGTCAAGCGCTGGCAAATGCCAGCGCTTCAACAGATCAGCCAAAAGATAGATGTCCAGCGTCGTGTGCGTGAGAGCAACTGCCTCAGCCTCAGCTCGATCAAGATCTATCAGGTGAGCAGCCGAGCAGAGCATCAACTTTGAACTGGTTGCCTGTTTTGCTTCAATTCCAAGTTTTTCTTTTTCTTTTTGGGAGTACTTCAAAGCACACGCACTTCACCTACACACATACACACACACACACCCGATGGGCACACGCATATAAATATTTACATTTCAATATGAAATTTTGATTTGATTTCTGTGTTCGCACACAAATTTCAAAAGCTAACAATGCCAGAGCTAAAAACAAAATGGGCTGTCCGCACAGGTAACAGGTAACCGGAAATATCGATAGTTCATATGTGGGTTGCAAGAGCTTTGATCATTTTATCTGAAACTTTTCAAATTTTCTATTCTACAATTATTTTATATTTATTTTGATATCCTTGGAATTGAATGACTTCATTTCGATTTTATTGCTAACATAAATATTTCGATTGCAGCAATTTCCGCGAAATAATAAATATAAAAGACATACGACCAAAGAGAAAGATTTATTAAAGATGCGTGAGGAGCATTTTCTCAGATGGCAACAACTATTAACTTAATGGCTAACTAATTTCGCAGAGCTCTATGTGAGAGCAATTGTGTGGCGGCAAGGATACTTTCGAAATTGTTTGCAAAATTTGCAATTTTCATTAACAAACTTCAATTAAGCGGCAAATGTAATTTGGCATGCAAACAAAATGTTGGCCAGGATAATGGCAGTCAGTCGCGCACTGTCAACAGCGAAGCGCCTGTTGCACAGCACGTAGCCAGCACTTGCACACACACACACACACACACACTCGCCCACACACATGTGTGCAGGACAATCAGCGGAAGCCAGTCAGTCAGGCTGCCAGGCTGCCAGTTGGGAGCCAAGTCAAGTGTTTGCACATGTAGTTCAAATGAAATTAAAATTCGCATTGACACTGTAATTTGTGGGCGAGCACAAAAGGAATCAATTTCCAGCCAAACACTCCGGCTGCTGCTGCTTCAGCTGCTGCGGCTGGCAATTGTATCTGTGGGATACATATTTGTCAGATGCTTACCGCAACCGCCTCGATAAATCCATTTCGCTGCTGCTGCTGCTGCTTTATACTAATCGACAGCGTTTGGCGCTGCACAAATATTTAGAAGTTTGCTTTTTGATGCACAGGCACTTGAAATGTTTAACACTTGAGTTTTAATTATTTGGCACACTTGTCACTGGGCACATTCGTTCGTTTGCACTTTGCGCCTGCGCATTGCCAAAAAGGATACACATATAGGGCTAACAAATCTCGCGGCGTTGTCGTCTTCGTCCTTGCTATCGTCCTTGCAACACACGTTCACGATCGAGATCACGATCACAGTACACCCGCAGGGCTAGAGCGCACGCCACCAACTGAACGAGACCAGATCGCTCTAATTCTGTTGCAGCACCACAAGGCGTCGTCTGCCTCAGCATCGCGGCTGCCTCTGCTCCGCCGTCGCCGTCAGCGTCAGCGTCGCCGTCAACGTCGACGCCAAAGCAACTGTGGCGATAGCGCCGTGATCAGCGGGCTTGGGCTTCCGCTGCTTTTTTTGTGCTGTGTCTAATCAGCCCCAAACTGGATAAAGGGCTTAGGCAGTTGCCGAGCGGCGTTTCTTATTTCGTATATGCAATTATAGCATATACTTCACTTCTTTTTTTTTTTTTTAATGGCACTCGTTGTGGATCACTTATTGAAGTTCTTAATGCGTATGATCCTTTTTTGAACCGGCTACTCGAAGCCAACACAAGCGACTGAGTTCGATGCGAGTTTTTTGTTGCCTGCATTTCGCTCTTCACTTCCAACTGGTTCTCTCTCATTCAACTTGGCAACTTTGCAACAGATCTTCATGCGTTGCACGTGTGAGTTCCCCATGTGTGTGTGTGTGTGTGTGTGTGTGTGTGCGTGTGAGATGTGGTTGTGAATGTTGGACGTTGAAAGTACCCACCAGGCTGGGCCGGTGATTTACTGTCTGCGTTGTTGACTCACATGTTCAAATGGAAATTGAAGATCATTTGACGCCCCTAACGAGCGCGGCTGATGAACACATGTCGACAGCAAGGGTCCTTTGCTTGCCGCCGATCCTTGTCATAATATACATGGCCATACTATGCAGGAACAGCAGCCAATTCGGCTTAATTGCTGCTAAAACACATGTGCCTGTTTATACTCTGATTTGTCTTCTTCTCTTTTTTAACAGCCCAGACAAATATAGACATGCAGAGCAGGCGATCTGCAGTCTGTCAAATTCATTCAACAAATTCAACAACGGCATTGCCTCGACATATCGAGTGTCTATAGTATCTATTACTAAGTCGTGTTAATTGTACGAGTTCATTCATGAATTGCCCAGTCTGCAGCATTTCGGTCATTTTGTCTGCCCATTATTTCCGCATTCCAGTCTTCTATAGCTTCCGTATATAATCTCGAACACCAAACCCCAAAAATAGCCTAATCCCAGTTCTTATTTCCGTTTCTATTTTTTTTTTTTTTTTTTTTTTTGGAGCTCTATGACACACGATAAGCGTACTCTGATTTTGAAGCACATTCGTGGCTTTTGCCTAAGCATGCTGCACACTGACTGAAGAATCAATTTGATATATAGTAAATGTAACATTTTATTTTTCATATTTTTTGGTGAACTTAAGCTATTAGATTGAACATATTATGAATTGGTACAGTTTACAATTTAATTTTAATAACAATTTTTGTTGAGCCAAAGACTTCAAATCTTAATTTTAACAGATATATATGTATAATGGAAAACAACTACATGCTAGGAACTAATTGTTTTACTAAATTTCCCAGAAAATGAACTCGTTTTAAAGGATTCATATTTGTTGATTGTCCTGATTGCGTACTAAGTACATAGCACATGAAAAGTTTATTGCAGGATTCCTTCATTTAAACCGATTTAATAAATAATAGTAAGAGTAACTAATACTACCCTATACTAACAACTTCAATAATTCAGGTAATGTTGAAAATTGTTCATAAATTGCAATAGGAATATCTCTAAGGAATATTGCTTATAAATGCTTCCAGCGAGATGTTCCAGAGCTATTCGCTTCGCATACGCATAGATAGTCTCCGAAAGGTCCTTAAGTAGAGATTCACGTTAGCCCAAATTAAAAATTTGTCCCAGTGTTTAGTTAGTTAAATAAATTCCAATTACTAAAAATAAATAATTTTTATCAGCAGACCGACCACGAGGGAAAGTTTCTTCCAGTGAGCTAATAAGTAACTATGTCGCAGCGCGAAATAAAAAAAAATCCGCAATATTCAAGGCAAGGCATTTTAGTGCGATTATAAGTATAAAATAAGTATGTGTGTAATGTGCGATGTGTATTAAATATAAAGAGCTCATTCATAAAAGGGCGAACTAAGCGCTAATTGGCCACCCCCAACGGAAATCGTTTATCAGAAAGGCGAGAAGAATACGTTCTGGTCTGGGGCACTGGCTATGCTTCTTGCTGCCTTGCTGTGGGTTAACTCCAATTAGCATTGCTTTGACCCATTTAGACAGCTTCCGTCATGGCATGCATACATATATGGACAGCCAGGGGCGCACGCAGTCGCAGTCGCTGTCGCAGCTGTCAGCGGCTTATCGGCGACAGTTCCGCTGCGGCAGCGGCGTTATCCTAAGCGCTAGGCATGTGGGTGAAGGGTGGCAGTGGCAGAGCCCCAGCAGCAGTAAGATCAACAGGAAGTCGGATAGTGGATTTGTTTTATATACTATACACAATATATATAATACAAAACTATAGATATATGCATATGAAATGGCGATAACAAACGAAAGCAGCGGCAACAATGCTAAAGCAGCTACCAGCTACACAGCGGCAATTAATTAAAAGCCAGGATCCCAATCCGTTTTTTGCGCCTCCATGTGCGTGGTATAGCATTGCAGTGTATCGCCTGGCTGCGGCAGCACCTTGGCATCCTTAAAGCGCAAGCCGCATTCCACGTCCTTTTTAACCGAGTCCACCTCGTTCTTTAAGTGACGCATTGACTCCAAGGTGCCATCGTAGATAACCTCGCCGTCCCTTAGCAAGCGAAACCTTTGGGCCTTCTTGAGCACGCCCTTGGTGCAGCGGCAACCGGCCACTGGAATTTCTTTGCGCCCCTCGTTGATGAAGAAGTGCTGCAGCACATTGGCCTCGCCCAGATGCTCCTCTACTTCCACAGCCGGCAGTTGGCTGCTCAGCTGCTCCTTGAGATCATCGATTAAGCGGTAAATGACATTGTAGCTCTTGACCTTCACATCCTTGGCCAGCTTGGCCTGTGGTGTTTCCACGGCAAAGGCATAAATGATGGCATTAAAGGCTTTGGCCAGCTCGAGATCACCTTCCGTGACATTGCCCACGCCGTAATGCACGATGTCCAGCCGGCAGCGATCGTTGCTATTGTAGGTTTCCAGCACATCCAGTATGGCTTCAACTGAGCCATGAACATCGCCCTTGATGATGACGCTCACGCGTGGAATGCCGTCATTCTCATCGACCTGCTTCACACGCTGACCGCCGCGCATTCTAAAGTATCCGGCCAGGCGGCGAGCCTCACGCGCTGCTCGGTACTTTGCTTGATGTTCCTCCTCTTTCTTGCGAATTTCATCGCTGCTCGATTCGACTTTCGCCAGCTGTTCCTGGTGCTCGCGATATTTCAGAACCGAATGCGCCTTTTTCTATAATAGTATTAATGGGTAAAACAGGAAAGTGGAACATACTGTTTGATGCACACTGCTCACCTCCGTCTCCACCTCCAGTATCAGCTCGCCAGCCAGCGGCAGTTCACGCCACCCGAGTATTTCCACAGGCGTCCCTGGCGCTGCCTCTATCATGGGTGTACCATTGTGGTCGAACAGACCGCGAACTTTGGCATGGGCCAGGCCACTTACCAGCACCGAGCCCTTGCGCAATGTACCCCGTGTGACAATGGCCGTGGACAGCTTGCCGCGGCGTGGATCAGTCTTGGACTCTACCACAATGCCTTCTACAAGACCCGTGGGATCTGCTTTCAGGCCCATCAGCGTTGCCTGCGTGCTAACTGCCTCGGCCAGGAGTTCCAAGTTGGTGCCTTTTAGAGCCGAAATGGGTATAACCTGGACGTCGCCGCCGTGCTCTTCCAGCGCCAAGCCCATTTGGGCCAACTCACTTTTGCTCTTCTCCTGGAAACCAAAGTTATCAGTGTATATTTGCTGTATACCACAATAAAAGCCTTACGATATTCGCTTCGGGCTTATCAATCTTGTTTAGCGCCACGATTATGGGCACCTCTGCCTCTTTGGCCAGCTGGATGACCTCGCGGGTTTGCGCCATAACACCATCTTCGGCGGCTACAACGAGCACGATAATATCTGTGGCATTGGCTCCACGTGCACGCATTGCACTGAATGCCGCATGTCCGGGGGTGTCCAGGAACGTGACCTTTTCACCATTCTCGAGTGTAACCGTAAAGGCGCCAATATGCTGAGTAATGCCGCCCGCCTCGCCAGCAGCCACATCTGCACCGCGCAGCGAATCCAGTAGCGTGGTCTTGCCATGATCCACGTGACCCATCACTGTGACCACTGGCGGACGGTGCTTGAGCAGTTCCGGCGCAGCTGGCGGTCGTGGCGACACATCACGCTCCACGTGCTCGTCTTCAACGCTTAACTCAGGTGCTGACACAACTCGCGTTTTAACGCCTAGCTTCTTTGCAATATTCTGAATTATCTTCAGATCCTCCAGCTTGGCGCCTGCCTCAATGTTGTCCGCGCCGGGCACATACAGCATGGCCTCCTGCACATCGTCTACGAGGTGAAGTGGAATGTTGTTAGCATCGTTTATTTCTACTTCCAATTTGCCACTTACCCAAAGGTCGCTGCAACGTCTTGGCCAGCTGTGCGACGCTCATGTATCGCCAAATGTCTGTGGTGCCGTGGGCGGCTGTTGCATTGGAAGATTGCAGCTTCTTGGGCGAGTACTCTATAATTCGAGGCGATTTCTACACAATTAGTCAGTGTGTTCCAAGCAAAATGATTCGTGTTCATAATAATTAAGAGGTAACTCGGGAAGTAGCTTTATCATTTGAAATCTTAATCTCACATTAAGAGCACAGTGTGACGTCAGAGCAAACGATATGGTCGATTCTCTCTGCGTTACCTCTTGCATTTCATATATTTTGATTGCTCTCACCTTCTCCTCAGCTGTCTTGCGGCGCTTGAGTCTCGTAACGCCGGTATGGAGTTGCCGCTGCCGCAGCGCACTGCCCAGTCGAAAAATGCAACTTACTTTAAGCATCTTACGCTCTTAAATGATTTTCGAGTTTTACTTTACACCTATTTACATTAGATTCTTTTAAAATTTTTAGTTATTGTGTAATTTATCGCACTATTTCCCTAAGCAA